TTGTCCTGAGTGGTGATGTCCTTCCTGACACTCCCCACAGGCAATGCAGGTTCTCCATTACAGTAATGAGGGATTAAAATGTCCTGTCCCTCCCATTGCTCTCTGCACTCCTCAGGGAAGGTCTGAGCAGGACCAGGAGGATGCTGACATGTCCCTTTCTTCCAGGTGATAATCATTGAACCATTCTTTGACTGCTATGAGCCAATGGTGAAAATGGCTGGTGGGACACCTGTGTTTGTGCCTCTGAGACTGGTGAGTGGCTGGAGAAGGGAAGAGTCACAGCAGTCAGCAAAGAGGTGAGTGGTAAACAAGGTGCAGAGGTAGCAAACCAAACCAAGATTCCCATGTTCTCTCTAGAATCCTCCAAAAGATGGAAAATTGATGTCTAGTGCAGACTGGCAGCTGGACCCAGCTGAACTGGCTTCTAAATTCAGTGAACGGACAAAAGCCATCGTCCTGAACTCACCCAACAACCCTCTGGGCAAGGTAACACTGCTGCCCCTGCTGGGGTGCCTCAGCCTGCCCTGCACACAGGGGATGTGGGTGCTGTGGGAGCACCACATGCTGTGCTCAGTCTCCTGGTGGTTTTAAGCCTTGTCTTAAGGCTTAAAGACAACTGTTAGATCACTGCAGCAGCTCCTGCCCCTCCCTGGCATGGGAGATGGTGCCAGGACACTCACAACCTGCAGGGACAGGCAGGGGCTCAGAAACGCTCCTGCTGTGCCTCTGCTGCAGGTGTTCAGCCGCGGGGAGCTGGGGCTGATTGCAGAGCTGTGTGTGAAGCACGACGTGCTGTGCATCAGCGACGAGGTGTACGAGTGGCTGGTCTACGACGGGAAGCAGCACATCCGCATCGGTACGGGGCAGGGCCGGGCTGGGCGGGGCGGGGCCGCAGGGCAGGGAATGGGCACTGCACTCGGCCCCTGGAAATCCCAGGAGCTGCCTGCATGCACAGCTCTACTAGGCATTAATCCCCCACTGGAAGGATTTTGCTGAACTTCAGTCTCAGCCTCCAAACCAGGCCCTAAACAGAAGCTCTGACTTCAGAGCCAGAGGGGAGATCTTGAACAAAAAGCTGCTTGGCTCCAGTGAAACTGATTTTTTCCCATGCTTTGTAAAGCCACAGTTTTCTGAATGTCTCTAGTTCCCAGGAAATCCATTTCAACACCGTTTCAGCCTGTTCTTCCAGTTGGAGGAACATGCCATCACCTTGATGCAGGGTGATGGTGCTTGGCATCTCTGAGTGCCCCTGGGGCTGGGTACATGCCTGTGAAAATGCTTAATTAAAAGGAGATGCTCTTGAGAAACCTGGCTGCCTGCTTGGGATGTGTTTTGAGGCTCATCCAGGTGAAAGAGGTGCAGTGAACACTAAAGATCACCGTGGATTATGGTGACAGAGGGCTCAGCCCGGAGGAGCATGCTGAGCTCTGCCATTCTCTCCTTCCATTGCCAGCCAGCCTGCAGGGGATGTGGGAGCGCACGGTGATCATTGGGAGTGCTGGGAAGACCTTCAGTGCCACAGGATGGAAGGTGAATATCCCATGTGGCACCTCCTTGTGTCCCCAGCCCTGTCCCTTTGCCACAGCACAGCGCTGGGGACACTGCCCACGCTCAGCTTTGAGCCTCAGGGTCAAAGTACCAGAGGTGCTCCATGAAATTTCTGTCTGTAACATACAATGAAACCAGCACAGGCACAGAAAGGGGAGCCTGAGCAGGCAGCCAGACTCACCATCTTCCTCCTCCTCTCCTGGCTGCAGGTGGGCTGGGTTGTGGGCCCTGACAGGCTGCTGCAGCACCTCCGTACTGTGCACCAGAACTCCGTGTACCACTGTGCCACCATTGCCCAGGTAAGGCAGCTCCCTGAGCCTGGCCCTGCAATGCCCAAGCCCTCAGAGCAGGGGTAAGAGATGGTCCTCTTGCCCACAGCTGACCTGAAAGGCACACACAAGTGATTTGTGGTGCTCTGGAGAGGCTCCTTCCTCTCTCGCTACTGTTGTTCAGTGTCTGGGAGAAAGGGGAGAATCCAGCCTGCCTGGGGTATATTCCTTATCTTGCATTGACAAATCTAAGGGGCAGTTCAGAGGGGCTGAAGGCAGAGAGCTCCCTAATAACCTGTGAATTGCAGGAACTTCAGTTCCCAAGGAAGCCCTGACCATATTCCTCTGGGCTCTGGCCCCTCTCTCCTTACAGGAGGCCGTGGCTCAGGGTTTCCAGAGGGAGCTCATGCTCTATGGAAAACCAGAGAGCTACTTTGTCCAGCTGCCCAAGGAGCTGCAGCAGAAGAGAGACTGGCTGGTTCAGAGCCTGGATGGGGTGGGAATGAAACCCATCATCCCAGAGGGCACCTACTACCTGGTGGCAGACATCTCCCCGTTCAGTGAGTCATCTGCAGTCCTGCCCAGGTGGGCTGGGTGTGGGGCGTGGTGCTGCTGCCAGGGACAGGAACCTGCATAAACCATCATCAGAGCAGGGATGGGCTGCCTGTTCCTCATCCCAGCTGCAAGGATGTGGGCTTGGGACTCAGCTGAGGCACCTGGCAGCTGCCCCAGCCTCTGTCCTGCTGTGCTTCTCCTGCAGAATCTGATGTCCCCGATGTCCCCAACTCAGATGAGCCCTACGACTCCAGATTTGCAAAGTGGATGGTCAAGAACAAGGTAAAAGGGTGTGGCCCTTCCTGCTGCCTTTTCCCTGGGTGGGTTTGTGCCCCTCCAAGCTCAGGGCTGGGGCACAGCCCCAGAGCAGCACCCTCAGCTCTGTGTGCTCCCTCTGCCCAGGGCCTTGCTGCCATCCCGCTCTCCGCTTTCTACAGCGAGGCCCACAAGAACAACTACACCAATTTCATCCGGTTCTGCTTTGCAAAGGTGAGATGTGGACAGCACTGAGGAAGGCAAGGTTGGGAGCAATAATCAGAGCTGGTTTAATGAGAGAAATGCCAAGAAGAAATGCAGGATGGGCCGGGCAGTGGAGCCCCACCATGGCATCCCAGCTGGAGCAACCTCTCCTGCAGACACATGAGCTGAGCTGGGGGCAGCAGATGTGCCAGGGCCATCCTAAACTTTGTTCTATCAGCATCCTACATCTCTTGGCCAAGGAAGGGACTCTCTAGGTGCCCCTTTAGCTGTGCCTGTCTCAGACTGAACCTGCAATGCTTCAGAATGAGAACAGGATTTTTGTATCAACAATGGCTGCAGTGAGGGGGAATAGGATTTGGCTGGGAGCCACTGACCAAATCTGTGGTATTTTTTAGGAGGAAGCTACACTGAAGGCAGCAAGTGACATATTGCAAAAATGGAAACAGGAGAAAGCCAGCTCCTGAATACACTGAGAGAGCCAGGCTCTCCTTGGTCCTTATCTGCCCCAACTGCTCTTCTTCTTCACTTGTCTACAAACTTTGGTATGTTCTTACTTCAGTGCTTTCAACAACATTTTCTGACAGACAAATGGTTAAGTTTTTCCAGGCCCAGGGCCTGGAGGACATTTTCAGTCACTGTGAAATTATTTCAAGAAGTGAGACTTTGTGTGCACCGACAGCATTTGACATTTCTTACATGTGAAAACTTTGCTAATCAGTTCTGGGATGCATCCAGCAACACACAGGGTGAGGATGGCTCCTGAGCTCTTTCTCATCACCAAATGCTGAAAAAGTGTTTCAGGACTTACCTTTAAGGCTGTGCTGGAGGGTTAGTGTGGCTTGTCTTGCTTCACATCCCCACTCAGGGCAGCATTTCCACTGGCACTCACATTCCCACAGGATTAGACAGCATCACCAGCCATCAGTAAGGTGACTCCCATGATCCTGATTATTACAAATCCAGTGAAATGACATTTCCCATCATAAAGTATTTTCCCACAATTTTTTTCTGTCCATCTCTGGGGAAAATGACCACACAATTGCTTTCCCCTCAGGAAACAGGCTTTCAGCAGTAGCCTGGCTATTGTCAAACCTTCCAAATTACTCCTGGCACTTTCTCAGGGCTGGGCAGCATCATCCAGGCTGCAGAGCAAAACCTTTTCTGGCCTTTGACAAGTGCACACAGGGGAGGATGGGCCCAATGGCTTTGGCTGCTCCTACTGCTGGTGGCCACCACAACCTCCCACCCAGTGAGCTGGTGGGGTAACATGAGCAATTCTGGAGAGGAAATTCTTACATCAGAGTCGATTTCAGCCTGGATAAGAGTGTAAAACATCATCATCAACCACCTGGGAGTTGTGTGCAGCAGACTGTGCAATGAATGTTTGTAGCAGTTAAATTATTAAAGTGGAATTACTGCAATCATGGAAGAGTGTCTCTGTAATGCCTGCAGGGCTGGTGGAGCTCTCCTTGAGAGCTGCCTCATCTGTGCTGGCTCCTGTGATGGTTGCTGCTTGTCCCACTCAGGCTGGTGGGGAGAGCTCTGCAGGTTTTCTGTGTTGGGCTGCAGCTGGTGATGCCAGTCCCCTTGGAGCAGAGCTGCACAGGCCAGCAGGAGGGAGGGAGGGAGGGAGGGAGGGAAGGAGGCAAAGAGCCACCTGCCCCTTCCTGGTGTCCCCTCTCACCTGTGTGCTCAGCCTGGGTGGGTGAGGGTGCTGCTGAAAGCCCTTTTGCACCTATGTAAGTACCAAACATGGGGAGAGTTGCAACAGAGAAAGAACCGTGCAATTAGATTGTTGATATGGAGATTAATTACAACACCTCCACATGCGTGGGCCCTTATCTAGGCCATGACACAACCTGCAAAGGGCAGGGTGCATCTATGTATCGCCCAGAACACAGGCAGGGCTTGTACAAAGACTGGCAGACACGAGTACGCGGATTTTACACACACAACCACGCAGGAATTGTGATGTTCCGAGGCGCCCGGGGCTGTGCCCGGGGTCACCCATCCTCCCGCGGAACGCGCCCGACCCTGCTTAGCTCCGCTGCCGCGCGGGCCGCTCAAACACCAACCACGTGACCTCAGGCTCCTCCCCGCTGTGGGCGGAGCCTGCGCCCTCCGGCCAATCAGCAGCGCGGAGGCGCGGCCGGCAGCGCGGGGAAGATGGCGGACACGGAGAGCGGCGTGGGGAAGCGGCCTCGGGGCGCGCAGGTGGGCGCTGAGGGGGGCCCGGGTCCAGCCCGCGCCCTGAGGGGAGCCCGTGGCGCTCCCCGGGTCGGGCTCTGAGGGGAGCCCGGCGGTAACGCGTGCTGTCCCCCGTAGGTTGAGGACAGGAAAGTGGACTGGCGACGCTGGAAGCAGGAGAGTAAGGAAGGCCCGGTATCGCGGGGGCTGGGGCCGCTCGGAGCGGTCACGGCGCGGTGTTTAACGCCAGGCGCTGTTCTCCGTCCCAGGGAAAGCAGAGACGAAGAAATGGAAGGAGATTAAACTGCTGAAGAAACTGGACAAACAGCGGATGCGAGAGCTGGCAGAACAAGAAGCCCAGACGCAGGAGGAGCAGAAGGAAGACAGAGGTGATGCTGCTGTGACCCAATGGGGAGACCTGGGTGGAAGGTGCTAGAAAACCTGGCTGTTAAAAGGCAGTCGGTGTTAGCTATGGATAGGAAAGGTGTTACTTCACAGATCCGGTGTGGATCAGTCCACATGCCCAAGCAGGCATGAGCACTGTGCAGCAACCACTGCAGCAGAGATCCTTCTGAAGAGAAAACCAGTGATTAATCTAAGGAACAGAAGTTGCTTTTCCCCCAGCACACAAAGCAGCAGATGTGATGCTCTCTCGTGTCTCTGCTCCCCAGGGCGGCCGCACACGCTGAGCGTGGCCCTGCCCGGCTCCATCCTGAACAACGCGCAGTCCCCGGCGCTGCGCTCGTACCTGGCCGGACAGATCGCCCGCGCCTGCGCCATCTTCTGCGTGGACGAGATCGTGGTGTTCGACGAGCACGGAGAGGACGTCAAGTAAGGCAAACACTGAAGGAGAGCATGCTTGGATTAGGTTTCAGGAAAGAGTTCCTCCCTGTGAGGGTGGTGAGGGCCTCACACAGCTTTCCCAGAGAAGATGTGGTTGCACTGTCCCTGGAAGTGTCCAAGGCCAGCTTGGATGGGGCTTGGAGCAAACTGGGATAATTGAAGGTGTCCCTGCTCATAAAAAATAATCTTGTTCCACCTCCTGTCAAGTTCCCTTGCAACCCAGGCCATTCTGTGATTCTCTGAAGGAAGAGCCATCTTGTTCTGCATGATATTTCCTCTCAGCTTTCTGTTCCTTCACTCTTCTGTTAAGCTGAGGCCTGGAAGGAACTGCATGTACCTCTCCCCAGTGCCAGGATTACAGGGACCACTATACTCCAGGGAAAAAGATACTGACTGAACTGCCCTGGCAGCTCAGATCATTTATCCCAACATGGGGTTGACAAAGCTACAGGAGGCCCAGCCCTTAAACCTTGCTGTGGAGGGACAGGACATCTGTCAATACATCTTCCTGACATCCTGACACATCACATTTATACATAAAGATCAAAATACAAAACTGAAAAAGGTATTTGGCTTGGAGAGTTCCAAGGATGATTTGTTACAGATTGTCTCTGGAGCAGCCCTTTTACAAATGTTAGAGGGGAGGGATGTGCTGCTGTTGTCAGATTAAGAAGCAAGGCTTGGTGTTCTGGAGATCTGACCAATCTCATGCTGAGTTAACAAGCTGCTTGCTTTCACTTTCAGGAGCGTGGAGGGGGATTTTGAAGGAATTGGGACGAAAGGCAAGGCTTGTGTGCAGCTGGCTCGGATCCTGCAGTACTTGGAGTGCCCTCAGTAAGTTTGCTTTTCTCTATACTCAGCTCCTTTGAGTCAGAACAGGGCCAGAACTGAGATCCAGATGCCATAAACATACCTTTTCACATTTCACCTTTCTCTGATGACAGGTACTTGAGGAAATCCTTCTTTCCAAAACACGAGGACCTGCAGTTTGCAGGTAAATGCAGTTGTCTCTCCTTCCTGAGCTCTGGCTCCTTGTGTGTGGGACAGCCAGGACTTTTCCCCATTCAGCACTGGACCTGAGAGGGAAGGAGCAGGGCAGCACCTGCCCCTACACCTGTGTTTTCCCCCAGCACCTCTTTGCTCTGTGCTGTTCCAGGGCTGCTCAACCCCCTGGACAGCCCCCACCACATGCGGATAGACGAGGACTCGGAGTACCGGGAGGGCGTCGTGCTGGACCGGCCCACCAAGCCAGGCAGAGGCTCCTTTGTCAACTGTGGGATGAGGAAGGTGTGTCTGTTACCCACAGATGCCAAAACAGCTTCCCTTGCTTCTCTGGCAGATTTGCAGCAGGCAGGGTGGGCGCTGCTGGGTTTCTGAAGGCTGCAATGGGCTGGTGGGGGGGTCTAGGGCAGTTGGTGTCTTGTTCCTTCTGACTTGGCAACGTTTGTGGCTTCCCAAGCCCCAGCAGGCCCCAGGCATTCCAGCAGATCATTGCTTTACTGCTGCAGCTGAACCTTTGAGTAGCAAAATAAACTTCAGACTGATGAGCAAGCCCTGAGCCACACACAGAGCTCCTCATCTCAGCTCCATGCCAGAACAGACCCCCACTTCCTCAAAAGATTCCTTTCCTTCCTTCCCCACCTTCCCCAGTCCTTCCAGAATGTCTGGTGCTGATGGTGACTGTCACTGCAGGAGGTGCAGATTGACAAACAGTTGAACCCTGGTCTGCGAGTCACCGTGCGCCTGAAGGAGCCCCAGAATCCAGGTAATCCATGGCTCCAGGAACAGCTGTAAACTTCAGTCCTGCAGGAGCTGCTCCTTCTGCATGACAGGTTTGAAGGTACCCAACAGTTCTGCATGTTCCCTTCACTCCATACACAAATTTAATAACACTCTTACCATGCCTGCCTTAATAACTGGAAAGAACTGTCAGCTCTTCTTGGACAGTAAACAGCCCCAACACACTCACAGGCTTTCCAGAACTCACCAGATTTCCAGAATACTTTTTCACATTGGAAAACGTGGAAAAGTGGAAAAAGAGAAGGTGATGGCTGTGGCTGGTCAAATCCCACCAGATCACAGGGGCTGTTAAACCTCTTTGCTTTCTTTCAGAGGCCAAAGTGAGGAAAGGCACCGTGGTGTCCTCGCAGCACCCCCGGGCAGTCTCAGGCTTGTACTGGGGCTACAGCGTCCGCCTGGCCTCCTGCCTGAGTGAGTATCCACAGAGATTCCCTGCCTGGGTGTCCACACCAGTCCCAGGCCTACTGGCTTCACACATCTTTCCTAGAAATCTGCACATTACATGTGCAGCCAGCAGCAATGTGGCAGTCAGATTTTAGGGCTGAAACAAGACATGAACCACCTAGTCACCCTCCAGGACTCTGCTCTGTAACTTCCACTCACTGTTGCTCCAATGGCAAGAGATGAGTTGATGCCCCTCTCTATTTCCGTGATAACTACATCCCACTCATTTCACATCAGAGCCAGCAATCAAATTTGAGCTCAAGAGCCCTGGAAAATTCTTTTTGTATCTTCTGGTTGATTGGACCTTGTAGGAAGACTGTAAGCTGTTAGGAGGTGGTTCCTGGCACCTGTCTTGAGCTTTGAGTGTGAAAAGGATGTGGGAGACTCTTGCAGCAAGGGAATTATATGGGAAAGAGGAGTCATTCTGTCTCCAGCTGCACTTCAGGCACTGAAAGCAACTCCTGCTCCCACCACTCAACCATGGAGTGTTTCAGCCTGTCCAGAAGGCACATGGGTGAGGACATGGCAGCAGTAATCCCAAACTCTCTTTTCCAGGTGCTGTCTTTTCCGAGTGCCCATTCAAGGAAGGTTATGATCTCTCCATTGGCACCTCAGAGCGGGGCAGCTCCGTGGACCAGGTCACTCTGCCCTCCTTCAGGTTTGTCCTGCCTGCTTGGACCCACTCAGAACTCCCAGTGAGGCTGGTGCAGGCAGCAGAGCAGGGGAAATACCTCAGAACAAGGCCAATTCTTTTCCTCTTTCTCTGCAGTTGGTAGCAGGGACTGTCACACTGGCCAGGTGCTGTGTGGCTCTGGTGGGGAGGCAGCTGCAGTGGCCACCATCAGCAACAGCCACAGCTCCCTGCTTCAGCAGCACACAGGAGCCTGGATGCAGACCTGGACAGTCTGTCCTCTCACCCTGTCCTTGTGCTCTCCCCAGGCATGCCCTTGTTGTATTTGGAGGCCTTGAGGGCTTGGAAGCTGGGGTTGATGTGGACCCAAACCTGGAGGTCACCGACCCAAGCGTCTTGTTTGACTTCTACCTGAACACGTGTCCCAGCCAAGGCAGCAGAACCATCCGGACTGAGGTAGGGCTGGGGGTGCTGGGTGTGCCCAGGGCAGTGCTGGGTGTCTGCCTGGGCAGTGCCACATGGCCCAGCTGTGCTCTGACTGCCTTGGCTCTGCTGCAGGAAGCGCTGCTGATCTCTCTGTCTGCACTGAGACCACACATTGAGGAGGCTGTGAAGACACCCAAAGACACCTGAGGGAAGGGAAACCACTGACCTTGCCCTTGGGGAGGCAGCTCTTCAAATGTGGGGTGCTGGGCAGGTCACTCCAGGAGCCTGGAGAGACCAAGGCACAGTGTGACTGGAGCTGGCAGCGCTGCCCAGCTGTGCAGACCCAGGGACCCAGCACTGGAGCTGTAACACCTCAGCCCTGGAAGGGCAAAGGTGACCAAGATCAAATAGAGACTCCTTTGGATACAGTGGTCTTATGGGTGAGACAATGGTCTCACCCATAAGCATTTGCAGGCTCATGTTAAAGCCACAGGTATATATGTGTGTGTGTATATATATATATCTCACCCAGTCCAACTGCCCTTTTTTCTTTATATAGACTCCCTCTAGAATGTTCTCCTGTCTCTTATTGGTGCTGGTTTATTGCAGTGCCCTGCCCCTGTTGCCTCATTGGTTCCCCAGTTGGCTGCCCCTCCTCTACACCATTTGTACTCAGTTCCCATTGGCCCTTAACCCGCGGATCCATCCCTTTCTCCCTTTATAAACCCCATGTCCTCAGCCCTCTTTGGTCTCTGTCCCTGGACTCTCTACATTGCAATAAACTGTGTTTGGAGCTCCACACAAAGAGCTGTGTCTCACCTTGTTCATCAGCAGTTTAAGCAAGCTCTGGGCTGTAGGAGTGCAAGTGGCTCACAGAGCCTGGTTCTGGACACACCACAACACCCAGCCAGGCATTCACTGCTCTGGGAGCTCAGGTCTGTGCCCTCCTGCCTCTCGGGTCCAGCCAAGGGCTGGGTGCTGCTTCCCAGCAGCTGGCACAAGCCTGGCAGCAGACTGGTCTCAGCAACTTGGACATCAGGGTGGGAATAAAGCTGTGTGGAACTTCAACTGCTGTGGAATCCAGGTGTGTGCCTTCATTCCAGACAGTGCCTCTGCAGTGATGTGGCCTTCAGACTGAAACAAAGTCAGAACTGATGCCAAGAAGCTGTTCCTGCCTCAGCCTGATTTCCCCCAGCCCCCCTTCAAGGCTTCATCTTTCCCAAGAGCAGGAAGGGCTGCAGCTTCAATTGAGCCTCAGCACTAAAACACATAATCTCATTACAGTCTGCCTCTGTCTGTGATGCCTTAAGCTCTGCCTACAGTGAGCTCAGACAGGAAAGCAGCTGGAAAAGTTGGCTCCATCCTCTCCTCCTCCTGCTGAGATATTCAGAGCTTTGGTGAGAGCAGATAAGAAACAATATCATGGGTGTTCAAAACTTTACTGCTAAAACCATCTTCTGAAAGAAAACAATTGTACAGTTCTTTGGCCTGAGGAAGGCAGGAACTTCTCCTCTCCTCCCTTGCCACCCACCTTGCTCCCCTGCTAAACAGCAACAGCTGACTTCCCTTTGTGCCTGAGTGAGCCTCACACAACTCCAAGGCAGCAGTGGATTAGGAGCAAATCCTAGAGAGCAACTTCAGTGTCAGGTGCCCCTGAGCCTCCTGCAGGACCACTCTGGAGCCCTGCTGTGTGTCTGTGTTTCAGTCAGACACAAGGGCAACAGTGGAGAGAAGCACAGGTTTGAATCTGAATTCCCACATTTACAACTGCACAAGGAATTCTGCAGGTGATTGCCAGTCCCTTGCCAGGGGTTACCTGTACTTGTTCTAGTCAGGGGTCACTGCTTTCCAGCTGTGATGGCTTTCAAGTTACTTGTTCTCCTGAGGATGTTTGGGACAAAGAGGAGCCCCGAGGCTCTCTCAATGCTCTCAATGGGAACCAGGAACCGTTCCAGGGGGATTTTATCATCCACAGGGCTGTTGGGCATCACGTAGGAGCGCAACTCAATCTCCCCACTCTCCTTTTCCAAGATGAGCACCTTGAAGAAGTGGGTGGGGACAGCCACGTTGTTCTTCCCAATCACCTGGTACTTCACGTACATCTTCCCATCGGCCTCCATCCTGCACCAAGAGCAACATCCCAGGTTAGCTCTGGTGTGGTGTCACTCCACCCCCTCAATCCTCCAACACCTCCTAAGACCCCACCCACAGCAGGCAGCAGCTCTGCCTCTGCCACAGGGCTGTAAAACAGAGCTGGGGCAGAGGCCATGTGACATAGTGAGGGTGAGCTGAGCATTGGGGCCGCTCCCAAATCCCCTCCCTGCTGGTTTTAACAGCCTTTCCAAGCTACTTCCTGCTGCTGAAGAGATCTCAACATGAGACAGCTGCTCTTTCGTGCTATGTGGAGATCTTTGAAAATAAAATCATGTCCTTAAGTAGAGAAGCAGTTCATGACATTGAACCTGAAAGCTTTATTCTGCAGGGATGGGGTCTGCAGTCTAATCTGGTAATCAGCTAATCTACTAAATTGTTAAGGACTGCCAACCAGAACAAACTGGTTATACTGCAGCTCAACAATCACGCTTGACTCATTAAATAATGATCTTGATGAGAAATACATAAACTAATCCTAAACCTAATCAGGTACCTTCCCACAGAACCTCTGTGCACAGCTGGTCTCACCTACTGAGGGCCCTTAGTAGATCCCTCCTGGTCCCTCAGCCTGTTTTCCTTTGCCAGCACAATGCATCTTTTGGGTGCCAGTCCAGCTCAGCCCTTGTGTTTACCTGGGCAGGAACAGGGGTCCTGTGCAGACGTAGACATTCCTGTTGTTTTTTGCCAAGCTCCTGCAGTACTTCTCAAGGTTATTCCAGGCATTCTGGTTTAAATGAGGATTCTAGAAACACAACCAGTAGTCAGTTACTGTTTAGAATAACACATCTCACAGAGCCCCAAGCACTTTCCATACCAGATCTCGGCTATCACCTGTGCTTTGGGAGCAGTGATGGCCTGGTTTGCACACCCAGGACAGGACCCACTGCCTAAGGCTGCAAGTTTTAGCAAGTGAGCATCTAATTGTTTAATTCTGCTCCTGAGAGGAGCTGCACTGAACGGGCTTGAGAGGCACACACAGGCAGGTGCATTTGCAGGATCCCTGCTGTTAAATCTATCAGGAAATCGGCACCTCCGAGTGCCTCTGGCCCCTCTCTGCCTGAACTGCAGCAGGCACAAACACAGCGGCTCTCCCGGGGGTTTCCCGCAGGGAGCAGCGCCTGCCCTGAGCGCGGGCCGTACCTGCGGGGCGATGTTGCTCAGGTAGAACGTGTCCCTCATGGCCTTCTGGCTCCACCGGTGGTTGGCGGCGGCCGCCAGGTGCCCGCGGTCGAAGCCGCTGCCGCGGTAGTCGGCGTTGGTGGCGCGGTGATATTCGTGCACCGAGTCGTCCTCCTGGAAGTCGCAGGCGGCGCGGTCGGAAGCACCGCTGAGCGTGTCCCGGTTGAGCTGCTCGATGACCCAGAGCGCGCTGCGGCTCCGCGGGTCGTAGCACAGCACGTAGGACTCGCGGCTCCGCAGCTGCGCCAGCCCGGGCAGCCCGTACTTGCTCAGCTCGGTGCGCACCGAGCCCGGCGGCGCGGGCAGGCTGGCCGCCGCCACGGCGGGCAGCACGGGCAGGCGGGCCAGCAGCCCCTCGGCCGCATCGCCCCGCTCCCGGTGCTCCCGATGTTCCCGGCGCTCCCAGCGGCCGAGGGCCGCCCCCAGCCCCGCGCCCACCGCCAGCGGCAGCACCCACCGGGCCCGCAGCATGGCCGCTACCCCGCGCGGCCGGCCCCGCCTTAAACGGGCCGCGGCCCAGCCCCGGGCGGCCGCGCTGTGCCAGGGACATCGCCGCTTTAAGGGGGAGCGCGCACCGCGACCCCGGGGCCGCTGTCCTGAGGAACGGCCCCGGGCCCGGAGAGCGGCCGGGGACACCGGGGACACCGGGGACAACGATACCGTGGACACCGGGGACACCGGCACACGGACATCGGGGACACCAGCACAACGATACCGGGGACACCGGGGACACCGGCACCGGGGACAAGGACACCCTTGCCCACCGCCACCCACAGCGCTCGCAGGAGCGGTGGCACCCGTGCCGCGTTTTCCTGGGGAAGGCAAAGCAAACCCACGGCGGAAAGGAGAAGGCGCAGGAGGGGCCGGGCTGGCTCCCCAGGGCTCTCTTTCTGTCACACCTGCGGCCCCAATCCGAGTCACACCGACAGGAGAGGTTTGCACAGACATCCGTTTAGTTAAAGGAAACCTTACAAAAATAGTGTTTGGAAAAAAGAAGCGTAAAAGAAGGAGTTTTAGAGTGATGAAATGTTCACTACACCATTTTCTGGCAGTTCTTCACAAATAAAGTGGAAAAACATAAGTTTAACAGATAACATAAGTGTTATCTGTTCCTTTCTTTGGGGAAAGGGCATTTTAGAAGATTGCTACAAACAGCTAAAACAAAGTCACTGACATTCCCTAAGGAAAACCAGCCTCTGATTCCCAAACACCCCAGGCTCCCCCAAAACAACTTCTGGCCTTCACTCTGTTCAATGCCAAAGTGTGAATAATTCTAGGTGGAGTCACAAAATTCAAACTCAAAATCAGTCTCCCCAGTGACCACCACCAGCAGCCAGATCTACCTCAATGGCAAAGCCACCAAGTTCTACAAAGCTTGAACTCTAGTGAGGTGCAGGTAGAACAGACCTCTCCTTCCCAGGGAAAACTCATCTCTTCCACATCCAGGAGTGTCCTGATTTCCCTCCCAGCTGAAGGTGATTTCCCTTTCCCCGTCTGGCAGTAGTCCTGCCTGTGAGGAACACATGGTAGGATCTATTTAAACATCCTCTGTGAGATAATGGGTCCCCAAGGCACCCCAGAGTAACACCTCCCACCCCAAAGATCAGCTCTTTCAGCAGGTCAGCACTGTAAGAAACCAGAAGCAGAAACATCTCAAGGCTGGAACAGGCGTTACTTGACCACACAAGTAAGGAAACATCAGTTAAGTATTGTCTCACTTCAAAAACAACAAAAATAAATCACCAAAAACCTGTGAGGAATGAAGCCAAGGGCAACGTGAGGAGATTTAAAAGCTGGTAAAAGGTTAAGACTTTCTTTAGTCCCCCCAGAAAATCTGCTTTTGCTCTTAAAGAAAGGAGAAAGTCCTGGAATAAAGAAATAGATGTGCCAAGACAATGAAAAGTACCACTCCTTTCAACAGCAGGACAGTTCAACCACACAGGAAGGAAATAAGCAGAATATAAAACAGCTTTTTATGTATGGAACAGCCTGTCTGGACGTTTCAAAGTCGTTGCAAGCTCTCCCCACAGAACTCAATAGGTTTGGCAGCCATAGTTTGGATAAGGCTACAGAATTTATCCCAGAGATCCTTTCCAGCAGCCAAATCTCTCATTGCATCCCTTTAAACCACTGCAAACTCCTTCCAAAAGCACCCACTGTCACCCCCTGAAGCAAGGTGACACAACACAAGCCTTTGGAAGGGAGAAAGCACCACACCTGTGCTGCCACCTCCCCTGTACCCTCCCCAGTGGGATGTCACCCCCTGGGCCCAAAATAATGCTGAAAACATGCACAAGTTGATTTCCAAGTCATACTTTCATCCTGATTTGCCTGCTGCCTCCTCAGGTTACTTTAAGGAGATTTCCAGCTGCTCAGAGCAGGAACACTCACGGGTGGTCCCTGGTGCCAGTAAGAAATTCCAGCATAAGGAAACCCCGCAGGTGCCAGGGGAACCCAGAATGAACAGCCCAGCCAGGGATTCAGGGAGATGAGAGCAGAGTTTGTGCATGGAATGGGAAAGCTGCAGTATTTACAGCAGTTCGAGGCAGAAGTGTTTGGAGCAGGTACAATTCTGCCTCCCAAGAGTGGGGCCCTGTGGTTTTACATTTGTACAGAACCTCCCAGGTGGCTCTGACCACACCAGGTCTGGCCAAAAGCCTCCCTAGGGTAGGTACCCAAGAGCTGATAAGAACACCTGGAACAGCTCAGAACACCCATCCAGTGGCCAGAGCAGCCAGGATGCTTCATCACTCCGCTGTCCTGGTCTACCTGTCCCATTTTAATTGGAGGAAAACCATACCCTCAAGAAAAGATTGCAGCACAGAGGGACACTGTTGCCACAGGTATTAATTACAGATTGCTTTAAACCTTAAATTGCTCTTGCACCACAGCAGTAACACATGGCTGCACAAGTGGTACTTGAGCATCTCCTCAAGAGGCAAAGAGTGCCTGGGATTGCCAATAAGAACATGGGAACGTGCACCAACCTGTCCTCCCATCTCCCCACACACCTTGGTGAGAATTACAGCAGCCTGTGAAGGCCTTCAGTGAAGGAAATAACACCAGGAAAAAAAGCTGAAGGCTGCCAGCATCCCTCCTGCTAGGGCAAGTCTAGGCCAGCAGCAGCTTAAGCAGATCTTACAAAGACTGACTGACCTTTAACAAATCAACACCCATGAACACCAAAGGCTGCAGTGTCCAACAGCAGAGGTGAGCCAGCACAGCACAGAAAGAAAGGGAAAAGCATTTTGGATTAGTGTTCACTCAAGAGCTTCTGCACCACACAAGCACCTGGGTGCTGGCAGTTTCTCTCTCTGAGGATCAGGGTTTCTGCTCAGCTCAGCACTGTGCAGGGCAGCAGTTCTCCCTGTGGTTTGTCTCAGTCCCTGTTCACCTGAGCCCATTGGACCATATCTGAGGTGCAGCAGTTTCCCTCTCAGGAGGAACAAGTGTCCAGCTCAGGGCTGTGACTCCAGAAGGACCAGGACAGAACAGTGGATCAGCCCCAGCAGCCAGCTCATGACAGATGTCTCTGTGCCGGCTGGATTGTGCTAGAGAAGGACTCTTATTGCAGATCAGAACTGTCTCTTCCTGGCAAGGAGTACTGTGAGACAATAGCAAGGTTACTGTGACCAGACCTTAAAGAGAGTAGTATTATTTAAGCCACTGAGGCAGAAAACTCCAGTTGTGTGCCTGTATAAATCCCTAAATAATCTGTCTTCATTGCACATGATTAGGTGTCCATTTCTTGTGTTTCAGAATCCTGATTGTAGCTGGATATGCTCCAGTTCAGAGCAGCATGAGGCCTCCCTGCTCTAAGGCTGTGTGTAGTAAGGCTTGACTTGGAACTACACTTCAGAGGGGGGTTAAAACCACCACAATGTTACTTTCAAGGACACCTCGTTGATAAGGCAGTTCTGGATTCAGGCAGTTTGGGTGCACAAAGCCAGCAGCTGTCACTGTGTCCTCCCACCTCAGCTTCCCAAGTCTCTTTCCCAGTCAAAGGAGTGCAAACTGCCAGGTGACCTTCACCAAAGTGATGCAATCTTCTTCTTCTTCCTCACACACCTCAGGGATGGCCAAGTGCAGACATGAGAGAGGAGAATCCAGAATCCACTTGAATGGCAGAATGTGTGACTTCACTGGAATACATTCTATTCACAGGAGGAAGATCCTTCTATCCTCACCCACCAAAATTCCCTGGAATTAAGTCTGTCCTTTCCCCATCAGAAGTTACTCCATGTGTTACTTCCACGATACAGGAGTCCATCCCTTCAGGGATATGCAGACAGAAGGTTTCTTTCTCCCCAAACTCAAAGTCATTAAAAAAAGATACAAAGAACTGCTTTTGGCAGCAAAGAGGCTTTTGAGATGTGGAAAAATCTGGAGTGCAGGACCCAAGTAGATAGGGAAGTAATCAGTCCTTGACCTAATAAATAGAGTAGAAGTCTTCAAGGTGGCCAGTAGTTCTAACAAAACCTGAAGTCTTGCAGAGACCAGTAGGAGCTTTAGTGCACCACACTGCAAGGGGCCATCTCCCAGGATCCACTGCCACACAGTTCTCTGATACCTTTTGTTAGGCCCATGGACTATTTGGAATCTTGAAGTTCCTTTGCCTTCTTCAAAATCAGATGAACATCAGAGATGGGATAATCCTATGGCAAAGGAGCAAAGGCATTTCAGTGACTTCCCAGCATTCCTGATACAGATTGTTTTATTTTAGCAAGGCAAACCTTGACAACAAAGTTCTTGGCCTATTATAACATACAGCCATGTTCAGTTACTCCTTTAACAGCTATGGTTTCCTGTTTTGTAACTGATCAAACTTCAACACCCTTCCAGAAGGTTTGTTGTTGTTTTTTTTTCACTTTGTCCTCCAAGGGCACAGTAACCTGGCCTGACACAGGGCTTTGTCTCATGCCAGAGAGCCTTATCAAAGCCAGTATCTGGCACAGCCCAAAGCAGGAACTGGCAGAACGTGAGATATCCAACTGTGCAGTGCAGGCATTTCCAACCTAAGACTCTCACAGATCTCAGAACTGAACAAAACCCTCTGGCCAAAAAATTTAGCAATGTTACATAAGATTTCATATCCTGGCTTGAAATTATTCAATTTTTTTTGTAAACCAAAGGAACATTAGAAACCTCCAATCTATGATAATTTCTCTGGAGGGTAGAAAGGGTGCATATGCTAAAGACTCCCACTGATCCCTGCAGATTTTCCTGCAAGCAAACATCACAAATGTGGTTCTTGTCTTGAACCAAGCATACTCTCCCACCCTCTCACATACTGTCACCATCTCTCACAGCACTATTTTAAGACTTTTCCAATTGCTCTCTGCACCCACTCTAGTTAATTCTTACCTGGAGCAGCCTCATGTTCAGAGTGAAGTCTCCTTCCAGCAACTGATCCCGGATGAGTCTGAAAGACGGAAATTATTCCAGCTACTTCTGACTCTTTACAAAAAAACTTTAAACCCGACAACCTCTTCACCAGCTGCCCTAAGACATGCCTAGAGAGGACTCCTGGATCCATGGAAGAGAAGAGGAGGAAGGCTGTGTGTGTACTTACGTCAGCATGGCACAGCAGACGAGCAGCAGGAAGTCGAAGCGCTTGTCGTCAGCGAAGAGCGAGTCCCAGATGCGGATGACATCTGGCAGCAGGAACTCTTGGGACAAGAGCAACGTCAGCCAGCGGAAGGCAAAGAACTGGGGTTTGATGTTCTGTTCTTGCTGTCAGACAGGCACCAGGCAAACAATGAGTACGTGCTCCCGGTCAGCTCCCTACAGGCAAGAGATCACCCCATGTTTCCATCCCTGTCTCCTCCCCAGTGCTGCTCTAAGCTCCCAGCTCATCCTGCAGCAGCAGGAAAACCTCTGCATCCTTTGGAGACCCTCCCATTCAACCTTGACTGGGAGATTTTCAGTGCAGCCACACTCCACACCTCCAGCCAAGCCAGAAATGCTCCTCTATCCACAACATGGAGTAAAGGAAGCTTTTCTCCCTAAAGGCTCTATTTGTGTTCTGTTAAAGCTGCCAAGTAATTTTAAAGTTCCCATTTCAACAGTATTTTATCTGCAAAGCTGCAGCCCTCCCCCGCTAGCACAGGCACTGTTTGTCAGGATTTCCTCTGCTTTCCAGAACCCTTGTATTTATGAAAAGGCTTACTATTCAAAAAGATAAACAAAAATGGAACAGAGTTCACACTGATGGTCAGTAAAATATGCTGTAAGCACCTTCAGCCTGAAGTTTTCCTGTTTTCTGATGTTAAATCCAACATAGCCTAAGTTTAACCAAGGTCAAACAAGCTCAGGATTCTGCTGATATTCTTAAGGACCAGCTGCTGCATGGCCAAGACCATTTCCTGCCAGCCAAACATTAAGCAGTTTTTCTCCCCACTGGATCTGCTACCAGCCAACACTGTGGGCTGTGTCACTGTGCTGACAAACCATCTTCTGGATTATAGAAGAAACTTTTCTAGATGGAAAAAAACCTCGTTGTAATTTGGTCAAGGTTGCAGTAACAAGAATAGCTTTCCCTTCCAAAGTCTCCTTGCACTTTCACACCAAATGGACAATAAGACTGGAGATATTTGTAATGAGAGCTGCCTTCTATGTTCTACAAAACTCACACAAACTCAAAGGAGCTGGAAACCTTTGGATGAAAGGGAACAGTGTAATTTGGCCAGTGGGATCACCCAGCTCACTGGATTTCACTTCTCCTTTGGAATGTGCTTCATGGAGTTTAAGTCAGTGCTGTCAGGGCACCATTGGAAATAGAAGTGTGTGTGTGCAGCATGGGGGATGTTTTTTGTTTTGTTCTTAAAAGCAGAAACAATTTCTGTAGCCTGGAATGCTGAAGAGCTCTACAGCAAAACTCGTGTTTTGATGTCTACAAGAGAGTAAAAACTCCAGCTCCAGCTATGCAGGTGACCAAGGATCATGGCCCAGTCCCTTCAGACTCCCAGCTGGCAGCTGTGCAACAACCACAGTCTGCTTTCAGAGGCAGGCAGGGGAGGAAGCCTTGCTGTGTCAGCTCACTCTGGGCTCACTCCAAGAGGCTGTTTCAGCTCTCAGGTAAGAGTCTCTCTGCCCTACAGCAAAGCCCTTCCTGCACTCTGTGTTCCACTCAAGCAGTTTAACAAAACTGACGTTCATGTGCTCTGTTAATCCACTCCTCACATCCCACCCAAGACCCAGAGAAACACCTGGCTCCTCACCAGTTTCAAATACAGCTCCACATCTTTTTCCTTCAGGGTGGAGTACACCTTCTCCATTTTGTAGGTAATACCACACTGAGAATCATCCAGGCTCTTAATGAAGTTGTCCCGAATTTCAGCCATGAGATTGGTAAAGCAGAAAAATGTGTCTGCTTCAGCATGTTCTGGGGAAAGAAAAGAACAACATGGGAGAATAGAGGAAGCCTCACTGAGAGAGGTACAGAGCTGTAAAATTGTCCTTGTTCCATATCTGGTTGCTGTATTGGAGCTGAGGACTAGATCCCACCAGAACTTGGCTTGCTTGGTCTGGGTCAAAAGTAGACAACCTTTTTTTTAGGTTTTTTTCTAAACTAGAAACAGCTACAGAGGCACTGCAGATACTAACCCTGTGTCCAACACAAGGTCTTCGTGACATGAGGTCACAAAACAGTTATCTATGCACAAGAACATAATCTGCCACCAGCACACCCTCAGAGCTCCTGTGAAGCAGAAGCAACAGGCAAAGTCCTCCCTTTCAAATTTTTCCTTACTATCTATATCAATACAAGGAAACAAGAGCTTCAAAGGGGATTTTGAGTTTAATAAACAAACAAAAATTGCTCAAAAATCCTCACTTCCCATGTCCTTGCTACTCCCAGCCCATTCAGCTCCCACCAACTCCCCAAAACTCCTCATGCCATGCAGAGAAGTCACAGTACCACAGCCACTGCTGAGCAGTCAAAAGGCTTCCTCACCTTTCCATTCACTGTTAGGGTCTGTAGCAAAGGTGTAGTAAAGAGGCCCCACAATTTCATTCATGCCCTGGACATAGGCTATCCCAGGGTTCAGCTTGGCATAGATGAACAGGATCCTCTCCACCACTTCCCAGTGAGCTTCGCAGCCGTTGGGCAGAACTTCGTACTCGCTCAGAGAGCTGGGGGTGCTTTTAAGAGGGGAGCTCACCTGGAAAACAAAGCTGAATCAGGACAACCAAGTGGCACAGATCCCTTAGCACATGTGCCAAGCTTGGCTTTTAACACACACAGGCCCCTCAAAAGATCTGGGCTGTTTATACCACATAAACCAAGACAAGCAACTCTGGAAGCACACAGGCAGAGAAGTCCTGGTGCTGGCTGTCCCTGAAGAACAAAGTCTGTACAGCAATGCACAGTTCCTTCTGAATCATTGCACCACATGATCTCACACAATAAAAACCACAGCAGTTCCACTTCTTTGTCAGTAGTATGAGGGAAGGGTATTGAGAGTTGTGGGAGAAACCACCTTCCCCAATAGCACATGTACTGTAACACTCATGAAAGGGGAAAGAGACTACACATTTTAACAGATACTCTGCTCTTCTCCTAATCCCAAGTTTGAGATCCAGTTCTGGAGGACTATGGAAATTTGTAATAAATTCATAGTAAATTAACCCTTCAGTGTTTGCTGCCATACAGGAATGCATATGTCAAGCATAAAATAACTTGTGACTCCAAATTCTACCAGAAGTCAGGTAAAAACAATCTTTAAAATTAAATACACCTATAATTCCCTACAGTCTGTCAAGCACTTCAACTGATTCCACCATGTCCAGCCCTCAGTATCTGCTGGGGTGTTTCCTTAATTCCACTGCACGAGCAGAAAGAGAAACAGAGAACAGCCCAAGCATCGCCCTTCCCCTTCCCAACCTGAGCCCTCGCCCTGTGACAAGGACAGCTCCCACCCAGAGCTCACATTTGTCACCCCGCTGCGGTTCCGTGCCACCGTCTGCGACTTGAGCGTGGTTTGCTCCACGCGCCGGCGCAGCGTCTCAAACTCGTTCTGGGGGTCCAGGATCAGCAGGCAGGGATAGTCCGTGGGGCGCTGGAAAAACGCCATGTCAGGGTACAGCCTCCTAGGAGGGACACGGCAGGAAATCAGGGACAAGAAGGAAGTTTGTGCCCCATGTTGAGTGGGAGGTTTGGTTTAATATTAAACTTCCTTTTCAAAGTACAATTTGTTGGTCAAACCGCCCGGGTTCAGAAGCAGAGTGGTTGTGCCTCACACACCTGACATCTTTGTCTATCTGGAGGAGCACTTCGTTATCCTTGAAGTAGGTGTTCCATCGACTGTCTGGGTTTGGGTTGAGAGGCTGAAGAGAGAAACAACAGAAACAGAATAAGCATGTTTCACACATATCAATATCCTCAGTAAACATACAGTGATTTAACATTTCTGCTGTCACTCTGCCATCAGCACAATCTGAGCACATCAGGGTCATTTTTTCTCTCACATTTTTGATCCTTTTCAGTCATCTCTTCAAGAGTTTGTTCCAAATCAGTTCTTTTTTTCCCCTCTGTTAACAAGATTCCTGACTGCAGCTCCAAACCTGTACCATGGAGATGGTATTTAGGCTTGGGGTAAGAGTTATCCACCCACCCAGCACTTTGATGTTGTGGTTCTTCTCTCCATACCAAGATCCACACAAAGTTAACAACTAACCAAGGAAAAAACAACAAGCAACATTCCAAGGGATTCAGAGATCACTGTGACCTGGCTGTGTGGTTTTACAGACATGCCAGTTTTACACCACCAAGGCACCAGAGATCACAGTGGGGCAGGTGACTGCAGGGGAGTGAACGCTCAGAATGGTCATGGGAGCAGCTGTATCATTTTACAGTCTCTTCTGATCAGTTACTTCACTCACTCCTCCCACACACACACTCCTAACAGCACTTTCAGAAAAGGAGAAAGCCAAGGCATGCAGGAAATAGTCTGTTAAAAAAAAAACAACCCAGCAGCATTATCAGAAATAATCAACTCTCCTGCCTTCCACACCACAGCCCAGCCTGACTCTCCTGCTTCTTTCCTATCCTCTGCTCCAAATTCATTCATGGACCCAAATTCCCAGGGGAGCATCTCATGGCTCCAGGAACCTTTTGTGAGCCTCTTCCTTTCCCTAGGAGACCCATGGCCTGGGCAGGAGGAGAGGAATGCACAGCTGGAAACAGCTCTCTACAGAGCTATTGCTGCTTTGCCAGTAACTCACACTCAAGGCAAGCACAACAAAAGTGCCAGGCTGGCACCTGGGAACCCACAAAAGTGCCAGGCTGGCACCTGGGAACCATCCCTCCCCCTGGCAGGGCAGAACAGTTGGGAACAGAACCAGAGCAGCCCAGGGGGCCAGAAACTCCCCAAGGAATTTTCTGCAGCACAAAGGCTTAACAACACTTACGTGATCCTCCAAGGTCACATCTTCCCTGGAAACACCCAGGTTGGCCTTGGCAATCCCAGGCTGGATAATCATTTCTTTCAGGAACTGGGAATACAGATCCCTTAAAGAAGAAAAGAGGAATTTGCAATGAGGAAGATAAGGTCAAGGTGAGCGCACAGAGTTCAAACAGATGTTTCTGCCCCACCCTGCTCAGCCAGAAGGCATCTGATTTTCTCTTCAGTGTAATTGAAGAGGTCAGTCCACCAGGCAGCAGAAAGAACAGCACATTACACTCAAGAACAATTTGTTTTATGAAAGTACTTAATTATTTAAAGCCTATTTTTCTTCTCTGCAGATATCTTTGAAAATAAAGGGACAAGTACCAACAGCCTCACCTCTGTTTCTTCAGCAAAGAGCTCCATAAGGCTTTCTCTAAAGGGAGGTAGTTCAGGAGTATCTGCACAGGAAACAGGTGAACAGGAATTAGTATTCAATGAGCTGTCACACCTGCAAAATGAGCAAAGCAAACCCAGGGGCTCAAACTGGCTCTTGGAAAATACTGGGATTTCTCTCCAGACAGCCAAGTATTTTGCTAAGCAACAGTCAGGAATATTTCTGGAAATTTCAGGGACTGGCTTTCCACACAGAACTATTTGTAGGACTGATCAATAGCTAACCTGACCGAAATGCATTGCTTGCTTATAACTGAGGCTGCTCACATGCAAAGTGCTGATCTCCACAAATTACTGCTGACTTCTAGTGGCTTTTAAACTCTGGATTTATTGTTTGTTTACAACTTCAACCGCCAAAAAAGCACTATGTGTACTTAACCAACCCAAAGCATCACTCTCAAGAAAGAAAAGCGCCCCAAGCAAAACCCACCTTCCAGCACAGGCAGCGCAGCCCACCATCAAAGGGAATTCCTGTGGAACACCAGGCAGAGAAACAACCACGTTAGCCCATCTCTCACCGCGGGATGCTGATGTCACCTCACAAACAGCCCTGGCAACACTTTTCCTTCCCGAGGAGCACGAAGCTCCCCCAGGGACGCTGCTGGGGCTGTCCAAGGGGTGATCTCCCAGGGGACAGCCCGGAACAGGCGGCAGCAGCCCGAGCAAGGAGCCCCCTCCCCAGCCCGGGGCAGGGCCGTGCCCGGAGCCCCCTCCCCAGCCCGGCACTCACCGCTGAAGCACAGCTCGCGGAGCTTGCTCAGAGCCACCGTGGGTTCGCCGAGCACCTCCTGGAAGTCCGCGATCCTGAGGGGAGCGAAGCCGCGGGCGTCATCAGGGTTGGTACAAGCAACCTGAGACCCCCCCCCCACAGCCCACAGCCCCTCAGAGCCGCCGATTCTCGGGAGCCCCCAGCCCGCGCAGCGCAGCCCCGGCAGGGTGGGAAGGGAAAGGAGCCCAGTCCCCACATAGACCCCGCCACCGACCTGCTCTGGTGCAGCCGCGACATGGCGGCCCCGGCGCCCCTTCCCCGCGCGCCGCATAAACGCTCCGGCTGGAAACGCCGCCCGGGGAGGGGGATGCGGGACGGGCCCCGCCCTGCGGGGGCGTGGCGGAGCAGCCCGCTCCACACGGACCCTTCCCTGCGCTAAGCCCCGCCCCGCGCGCCCCAGGGCGCCTTTCCTGAGCGCCTGGCCCCGCCCCCTCCGCGCAAAGCTCCGCCCCGCTCCGCCCATAGTGCCCAGCCCCGCCCCCGCCCCGTTGCGTTCACCGTCCGGTAAGCCCCGCCCCTGTCCGGTAAGCACCTCCCCCTGCACGACTCGGGGCGCTCTCGGAGCCCCGCGGGCCGGTCCCTGCTCTGTCCCGGTTCCCTGCACCCCTCGGCCTGCGGGACACGGCGAGGGTCCCTCCCCAGGCACCAAGCGCCAGGAAAGCCCCCGCGGGCTGGAGCAGCCGCTCCCCCAAGCACTGAGGAGACACGCGGGGTGGTCGCGCTGTCCCGGGCACGTTGCGGCCCATGCCAATGGCAACCGTGTGCGGGGCTCGCGGGAATGGCCCCGCTCAGTGAGGAGGCGCGGCGGGACCTTGGCTCTGCGGCGGCGGCGGCAGCCGCGGCCCCTGAGCGAGGGAGAGCCCGGGCTGCGCCGGCCCGTCCCGGGGAGGCCCTGCCGGGACGCCGCGGCCAAGCTCTGCCCCGCGCGGTGACGTCAGCACCTCCGCCGCGTGGCGTCACGACACTGTGACGTCACCGAACGTCCCCGTCCCCGCCGGGTCCCCGCTGACCGAGCGTTCCGGCCGGGCCGGTGTTTCCGGGGAAGGACTCGCTGGCGCTTCCGGCGCGGGTGGAGGAAGTGACGGCGGGTTTGTTGACAGCGGAGGCTGCGGCGGGGGGAGCGGGCCCGAGCAGGACGCGGACCCCGGCCCGCCCCGGGGAGCCGGGACCAGCCGGGACCAGTCCCCCATGGCGCCAGGTGAGTACCGGTGCCCCCCTCCCCAGCCCGACCCGGGCAACAGGCCTGCCCGCCCGGGCGGGGGGAGGAACGGCCGCCCCCGGCAGTGCCGTACAGTGCCCCCGGCGCAGCCCCCATCCCCTCCCCGGGGCCGCCGGGAGCAGCCGGGCCCCGCCGGGCAGCGCTCCGGCCCGCGGCTGCAGGTCCGGCGCTGCACGGCGAGGTGACCTCTGAGTGCCTCGGGGACGGGGGAGGGCTCGGGTCCGGGGCCAGCGCTGCCCGCGGGGTTCACAGACACCATCACGGGCTGATGGAGCCCCAGCGCCCAGAGAGCCATGACAGGGACTCCGGGTAGGGTTCTTGGGCAGGTGACCTATGGAATGAAAATCCGTGATGTAATTTAATTCAGTGAGCTGAAGGAACATCTTTACTGCAGGCAGGTAAAGATCAACGCATTCCCCGGCGAGTGAGAGCCGTCTCATTTAGGATGTCAGCCTGGCTGCCTGACAAGTCTGGGAGTCGCAGGCTTTGCTGGGACAGAGGAGAGTTCCATCTTCTCCTCCTTCACTTTCCCTAGTGTCAGAACGGATGGTGTTTCCCCACAGAGGCAGCGATGACCCATCAATTAATGAATCACAGTGATTTACAGCTGCAGGATGCCAGCTAAAGTGACAGTGCAGTTTCCCTTCAGAGCATAACCTGTGCCAAACTCTGCATTTACATTACATTTGTAATTCTGAAGTCGCTGTAATCAGCTCATGTCAGTGCATATTGTTTGCCCTCTCCTTGGATGAGTCCCTGATGCTGGAACAGTCAGCTTTGCCAACCATTTTTGTAGCAACAGCGTAAACGTTGTGTGGCTGGCGTGGAGCCACGGTGAGTCAGGCTAGGCTTGGCTTGGCTCCGGGCACTGCCTGAAGAGAGGCTGCGAGAGATGATGGGTCTGAAGTCCAAGGGAGAGGAAATTGGCACTGGCAGCCCCAGGAGAGTCCCCAGCCTCACATACCAGTGCAGCAGGGAATGCTGTAACAGTGCAGATGCAGCCTGGAAAGAAGCAATATTTGCAAAGAGCCTGGGGGGTGCTGGATGCTGAGGAGGGGGTGAGTAGAGCTGCCTGTACTGCTCCTGGTTTTGGGTCCGTGGATGGCAGGAGGGTGCTGTTACTGCACAGACAGGGCTGTGTGCCATGGGAAGGGCTTTTGTGTGCCTGCTCCCAAGGCTCTGAGGAGCCTTTGTGCACTAAGATGGAAGCAAACCTGTCAAAGAAATAAATTGGAAAAACTACTGGCAACTGAAGTTCCGGTCACTTTTCAGTTCTTGCTCTTGAATTTTCAGCGTTTTTCATGCATCTTTCTTTAACTCTACCAAAATCCACGTGGCACCAGGAAGCCCACTGCTGGAAAAGCACTGGTGGCAGTCACTAGGCAGCTTCATCCTGTGTGAAGCTTCCTGAGCAGAACAGTTAGACAAATGTTAATGTTTTCCAGCCTCTCCAGTTATTTTCTTTTTGTCACACATGGAGGTTATGACTAGAGACAGTATTGATCAGGGCAGCTATTGGCACTTTTACTTCCCTCTCTGCTGCTGAGGTGTCATGTCTTCAGTCTAAGGAGGGAGAGGCCAGCTTGTGTTGTTTCCTCGAGAAAAGGTCACAGCAGCTGCTCAGATATGTGTAATAAATCAGGAGGATGAAAGCTTTTTTTTGGTCTTATTTCAGTGAGACAGCTGAACCATTCTTGATACTAAACTTCTGCATGGGATTGTGTTGGTGGATCACGGGGAGCTCAGAAGTTAAAGGGCAGCTGATTTCTTCAGGGCTGAGATCAACCAGCTGCATTGTGCTGGCCTCAGCAGAGGGGGAGCAGAGCCACAGGAAGGCAGTCCTTGCCCTCTGGTGCTCTGAGCTGCTTGGCCAAGTCCCAAGCACTGGCCTTTTCCAGCTGCACGTGACAATAGGTTGTCAATGGGAATTTGTTTTCGAGTTCTCTGGCCGTCGGTAGTAAACAGTGGAAGAACACTGGCTGCAGGGACCTCCTGTCTGGTGGCACAGGGGAACTGGTAGGGACAGCAGAACACGCTTCCCAGATCTTCCTGCTGATCTTGCCTTTCTGGAAAGATTCTCTCCAGCAAGCTTCAGGCAAAATCTGCAAGAGGGACTTGTTCTGTTCTGGAGGTGAGGCCAATTCATCTCCACAGCAGACACAGGACAGCTTCCTCCCATCTGCATTCCCTTTGCCAGGACCTCCCAGCCAGGGAGACAACACTGTGCACTCTGTGGCACATTTCAGCCTTGACTTCTCACCTTATTTAACCCCAAAGTTAAGAACTGTGGATTGTGGAGCTCCTCCTTTATCAAAGTTGAAAACTCTCCATTTTTGTTGATTGGACCTCATGCCCCTTAATGGAGCTATTGTGGTGCTATTGAAAAGTCTCAGTTTTATGTTCTTGTGACCCCCTGTCAGCACTCAGTGACCAAAAGAGCAAGTTCCACCCTTAACACCATGATTGGAGAGATTTTAAAGTATAATTTTACAATTGTTGAAGTTTTGGGGGTTTTTGCCTCAGCATTTACCTTTTAGAGTGATTAAGCTGAGGAATGGAAGTTAAACTCTTCTGTCTTGTACTGATCCCACAGGAATGAAGGAAAGAGAGCAGCAGAGGCTTTAGAGAAGCAGAGAGCTGGTGACACACAAGTGTCCTGCTATGTGCAGCTGCAGGATAAAGATCAGAAACAGAATATGGTTCAGGACATTTTGCAACAACTTCTCCAGCAATGGCTGCTCAGCTGTGGTGCAGAGAATAACAGCTACCTCCACAGCATCAGTGTTTGCAGGGCCAGCAGGGCCAGACTTTTGATTAGACGTAGGTTTTATATCAAAAATAAACATTCAACACAATTTTTTGTGTCTGTGGAAATATTTAGAAAAGTTTAGGTTTGCTTGTAATGTGATTTGACCCTTTGAAATGTCACTGCTGGTCTTCAAGCTAGCTTCTCTGACAGGTCCCTTGGGGCTCCACTGAGCAAGTCTTGATACCAGAGCAGCCAGGTCATTTCAAGTCTGAAAACAGAAATAGCTTCCCCCAGTTGTGTGCCTCACCCATCCTTTATCCTGTTCTAAAAATGAAGAAGGGCAAAAGCACTTTGCCTTTTTCCAGTTTAGTCACTCTTTGTGACATTTTTGGGGTGGTGAGGGTGAGCTGGATGTACAGTTGTCCAGCACAGTCACAATCCTTGCCTTTGCACTCAGGGGGATCCCAGACCAGTCTGTGTTTCCCTCTGGCTTCTGATCCACCTCACACTCTAGCTCAAGGACTTGCATGAAGTTTCTGGCTTGGCACTACAGAGAAACACTGAACTTGAAAATGAAACTTGACTTGGAATGTTGGCAAAGAGAATGACAGGCAGGAGATACAGGGCCACAGATCCCACCAGTGCCTTACAAAGGATTATGCTAACAGTAAATGTTCTGCTGGTTTATCCAACCCACCCTGAAGGAAACCAAGCAACGTGGCTTCTACCACTTCCCTTTCCGAGGGCCTTTGTCAGCCAGATAACCCTGCAATGAGGAAACATTTTGCTGTGTAGCCTCATTTCCAAACACATCACACTAACTCATTCCCACAGTATCCCCTTGGAGTGGGAATATCAAGGAATTAAGGGCACACTGCCAGAGGGCCCAAACTGCTGCAGGCCCTTTTGAGGTCAGCCAGTGATGAGCTGTAAATACAACATCCTTCTGCTGTGACAGCTTTGTGGGACACTTGCAGTTGTGCCTTTCTCAATGCATCTTTTTTCCCTTCTCTGCTTACAGCTATCCTGATGGCCCCATAAATTCATCCCAGGACTTCATTTGAGGGAAGGATCTCCTGCATCAAACGCTTCCTTGTGCTCTTCCCCTTCCCATAATTTCCCTCAAGATGGCATCTGACAGTCCTGAGTCTCTGATGACCTTGTGCACTGATTACTGCCTTCGCAACCTGGAGGGGACTCTCTGCTACCTCCTGGACAACGAAACGCTGCGGCTCCACCCCGACATCTTCCTGCCCAGCGAGATCTGTGACAAGCTTGTCAATGAGTATGTGCCAGGCCTGGTTTGGGAGGAGCTGGCAGCTCAGAGAAGGGGGGTTTAGTTCTCCAGTTGATCATATGGGCAAATAAGGGTTTGCACGAACTTCAGAAGGAAGTGTTCCCTTTTGTACTGCTGCCATTCTGATTTCTGTGGTAGTCACCTTCCCAAGTTAGTCAGAGCTCAACGTGATGCTGTAAAAAGGGAAATGAAAAGAGTAAACCCAGAGTGAAACAGTCGCTGCTTCTTCCTAGAATGTCAGTGAGCAACAAAGAAGCTTTCCCATTTCCTATCACTGGAGCATTACAACACTCTGTCCAAGCAGAGAAATAAGAGTGCAAAGTGCTAACAGATGTTAAATTTTAAGGCTGCTGCTCCCATAGTTTTACAAAGCAACTTGTTTCCAGGGATTTATGTAATTTGGCTGTCATAGTCTCTTTTGGCTGAACTTGTGCTCACAAAGTCTGGCAGAGAATTCTGGCCAGCTAATTTTCTGAAAAATGGGGGGAAAAAATCAAATTACTAAGTTTAAACAGCTAGGGAAAAAAATTCCTGGAGTCTGTGCTTGCCGGAATCCAGTTTGCTCACACATGCTGAGTCCTGCACAAATCTTTGCCCAAGATTTTCCTAGGGATCATTGGTTCTGTGCCAGAAGAGGTGGGTGAGCTGCTTTGCCCCAAAGGCTGATCTGGGTGATACTGGGAGGGGGTGGGTTGGTGTGTGCTCACAACTCTGTCACACTTCCTTGTCACCAGTGCAGGTTCCAGAGCTGTGGCTGAGCCTGCGCTGTGCTAACACCATTGCCCTACACAGGTACGTGGAGCTGGTGAAGACAGACAGCATCTTTGAACCCCATGAGAGCTTCTTCACCCTCTTCTCAGACCCACGGAGCACCAGGCTAGCTCGGATCCACCTGCGGGAGCACATTGTGCAGGACCAGGACCTGGAGGCCATCAGGAAGCAGGTGGGGCTGCACAGCTGCCACATCACATAGCAGCATTGCACAGGCACCAACTGGATTTCCAGACACCCAGGGATTCCCAAGGCTCCATCCTTTGCTGTCCAAGCCTTCTTTGGACTAACCTCAGCTTCTCCCAGAGCCACTCTTGGGAATGGCATAGGACACTGGTCAAGTTGGGTGATACATGGTTTCAGGCTGTCTCAGTGGGGCAAACAGGGTGGGCACTTTACCTCTGAAATATCTCTAACCTTGATTTCCCTTTTTTCAGGATCTTATTGAGCTCTACCTGACTAACTGTGAGAAGCTGACAGCCAAGAGCCTGCAAACCTTGGTGAGCTTCAGCCACACACTGATCTCCCTGAGCCTCTTTGGCTGCAGCAATATCTTCTACGAGGAGGAGAACCCCGGGGGCTGCGAGGACGACTGCCTGGTGAACCCCACTCGCCAGGTCTTGGTCAAGGACTTCACTTTTGAGGGCTTCAGCCGCCTGCGCATCCTGAACCTGGGCCGGCTGATCGAGGGCGTGAACGTGGAGACGCTGCTGCGGCCCCTGGCCTCCCTCGCGGCGCTCGACCTCTCTGGGATCCAGCTCAATGATGTGGCTTTCCTCACCCAGTGGAAGGACAGTCTGGTTTCCTTAGTGCTTTACAACATGGACCTTTCAGAGGAGCACATCCAAGTGATTGCACAGCTTCGCAAGCTCAGGTCAGCAGATCTGTTCTTCCTTCTTTATCCTTCTCTAGCTGATAGGGAAAGGTCTTTCAGGAATGGTCTTCTTGCAGATCTGTTCTTTCTTCTTTATCCTTCTCCAGCTGATAGGGAAAGGTCTTTTAGGAATGGTCTTCTTGCAGATCTGTTCTTCCTTCTTTATCCTTGTCTAGCTCATAGGGAAAAGTCTTTCAGGAATGGTCTTCTTGCAGATCTGTTCTTCCATCTTTATCCTTGTCTAGCTCATAGGGAAAAGTCTTTCAGGAATGGTCTTCTTGCAGATCTGTTCTTCCTTCTTTATCCTTGTCTAGCTCATAGGGAAAAGTCTTTCAGGAATGGTCTTCTTGCAGATCTGTTCTTCCTTCTTTATCCTTCTCCAGCTGAGAGGGAAAGGTCTTTCAGGAATGGCCTTCTTGCCTGCTATCAGAGAGGCACTCACTGCTGGGTTCAGCTTATAAACCTTCCTGTGAACAGGCTCACTGATTGTACTCATCACTGTACATACCTGACATGTCTAAAGCCAGCCTGAATTTTGCTTGTAAGAAGACACCACTTAGCAGAAACTTCCCATTGGAAAAACAAAACCCAACATATATATCACCCCATCACCGTGACCCCATCACCCCCACTTGGTGTGCAACAGGTAGAAGACACTTTTGTGAGTGACATGTTTGCTCCAGTCTTCAGTATGAGCCTGCAAAGTCTCTCTGTCCTGTAAGGAACCCCTCCTGCACACAGTCTGGTCAGGTTATCCCACCACTCCCTTAGCAGCAAGATTCCCTCAAAGCTTAAGCATTTAAATACCTGAAAGAAATCAAGATAATGTAATAGCCTGGGGTGGAAAAAATATAAGATGGGCGAAGCAGACAAAAACCTGTGCAACTTAATTTGTGGGATGAGGCAAGATACGTTTCTGGGGGTGCACAGATCTTCTGGTGCATCTAAATCTCCAGGTAGAAATGCTCAGGTGGCTGCTGTGATGGAGGTTGGAAAAGGCAGTTTCTGAGCCTGGAGCAATTTCCTTTGTGATGTGTGGCTAGATGACTCACTGTGGTCCATTCCAAGTATTCCTCTACCAAATACCTGTGTGCTTTGGTTAGACACAGGGCCAGCTGCTGCTGCCACAACCTACAGAACCACATTCCTGTATCTTGGGAAGGAAATAATGATAAATAATAATCACACTTGGCTCTGGCAGGGAGGCAGAAGCCCCAGCTAATGCTTTCCAGGCTGTGAGATGCTCTCTGTCACTTGCAGGCACCTGGATATCTCTCGAGACCACCTGTCCAGTTACTACAAGTTCAAGCTGACCCGGCGGGTTCTCAACTTGTTTGTGGAGAACCTGGTGAACCTCACTTCACTCGACATCTCAGGGCACACCATGCTGGAGAACTGCACTATCCCCAGCATGGAGGAGAAGATGGGCCAGACAAGGTAAGGGAACAGCAGTTCCTGAGGTCTGCTTGGATGGATAGATCAGTCAAAGATGAATTAAGAACAATTCTCTCTTCTGAGTTCTCAAATTCTGTAGGTCTAATCAGTACTAAAAAGTAGGATTCAACTCTTGCCAGGTTCCCCTGACAGTAGAGACTGGTGTGCGAATCAGCTGTGATTGCTGTATGCAACACATGCAAGGACTTGTAAGAGTAATAAAGAATTCATCCCATCTGCCTGCCATGCATATTTGAAGTATTTCAGTTCTTTTCCCCACACACACATTCTCCCAGGGATCTTCTGCTGAATTTTTTTCCTGAAAAGACTCCAAAGCCCTTTACACATTTCCTACACAGAATACTCTTACTCTTGTGGAAATCCAGGCTTTTCTGACAGAACATTTACACACTGAGTCAATACATCAGCACTCATAGGAGGGCTGTGTGTTTTAGGACCTTGGAATCTAAAGGTCTGTTTCAGATTTGACCTGAATACTGGGCAGATCAACCCTTGGAAACTCTGGTGCCCCTCAGCAGAGGCACACCTAGAGGTCTGGTTTTCCACATCAGCCAAGAGCTCTGCCCTCCTATTAAGCCCTTGCTGAACAGAATCAAAAAAGTGAGACAGTAATGGCTCCTTTTCACCAGAGCTGGTGAAAATGCACTGGCTTTTGGTCAACAAGAAATATGGCAGCCAAAACAATGTTCTTGCATGTTAACAGAAGCAGACTTAGCACATCTATCACATTACAAATACATTGGATGAGTGAAATCCACGGCCCTTTAAGAGGAAATTTTCACCCCAACTAATGAACTTCCAGGACAGATTTTACCTGGGAAAGTTGCATCCTGTCTGCAGTAATTCTTTCTGCTAGTCCCATTCAGCATGTTCACCTTTCACTCAGGATCACCTAGGATGAATATTTAGAGTTATGTTCACAAGCAGCTGCCTGGTATAAAATGAAGTGTAGCTTTTACCACTCTGGGTATGGAGCAGTACAGAGTGAATGGAGGTCTGGCAGCCATCTCTGTGGCAGGAAACCTGAAGAAACATGGTACCAACATGAGCAATCTCTTGTGTTTTCACCCCAGCATTGAGCCAGCAAAGAGCAGCATTGCTCCCTTCCGGGGCCTGAAACGACCACTGCAGTTCTTGGGCCTCTTTGAAACATCCCTCTGCCGCCTGACCCATATTCCAGCCTACAAGGTAAGGAGGCTGCAGGAATATTGGCAGTGGGAACTTGTTAGAAGTTGAAAGAATATGAGAACCCTGGCTGCCAGTAGAGTGGAGTTCTTTGGGTCTTGGGTGTGACAGCTGAGCTCTGACCTTTCAATAACTACTTCATAATGCAAGAAAACTGCCAGAAAGCAAGACCTGTACCCCACAAAGTTTTTATATAGATTGAAAAACATTGGAGAAAAACATGGAGAAATCATCCTTCCTGGAGGATGTCTGTGACTACAGAGAAGGATTTAAGACAGTAGGAGTCCAACTTTTGAATAGCACCCTCCTGCCCCAAAGGTGCCCTTTCTCATCCCTCTGGACTGAAAAGTGACTCAACCTTTTTCTGATCCTGGGCTGAATCTACTCTCAGGGCAGAGGGAAGGTATACCCTTTGACGTTCCAGAGTTTCCTTCTCAGGTTGCTTTTCCTCTTTCATCATTTCTCCCCTGACTCTTTTTGCTCTTCCACACCAGGTGAGTGGAGACAAGAACGAAGAGCAAGTCCTGAATGCCATCGAGGCTTACACCGAGCACCGGCCGGAAATCACCTCCCGGGCCATCAACCTGCTTTTCGACATTGCCCGCATCGAGCGCTGCAGCCAGCTGCTGAGAGCCCTCCAGGTAAGCCTTGGCCTCACCCTGGAAAGGGGAATTTTGCACTCCCAGTCTTTTTTTCCAGAGGAAGTTCCAGTAGTGCAGTGGAACTGGGTGTCTTCATTTCCTAAGCACATTCCTGCAATGCCTGGGCCACGCTTTCATTGCGGGCTTCTGACATCACTCCAAGAATCAGCAGCAAGTCTGTGGCACTGAAGCTCTGTGTTGCTTCTCTGCAGCTGGTGATCACAGCCCTCAAGTGCCACAAGGATGACAAGAACATCCAGGTGACGGGCAGCGCCGCGCTGTTCTACCTGACCAACTCCGAGTACCGCATGGAGCAGAGCGTGAAGCTGCGACGCCAGGTCATCCAGGTGGTGCTCAATGGCATGGAGTCCTACCAGGAGGTCACAGTAAGAGCAGCCCAGGCACCTTTGGTTCCCATAGTCCTCTTTCCCTGTATCAATTCTTTAGCCTGGTGACAGCATTTGGGTTTCCTCTGCCTGCAGGGAGTTAAACAGAAGTTACTGCCTGCCCAGGGCTGCTCCTGGTCTCCTTTTTATCCATGAACAGTGGTCAAAGCGTGTGTGTGACACTCAGATACCTGGTACTGGCTGTGGGGTGAAAGTGTTGTGGGTAAAGGGCACGTTGAGTCAACAGAAAGAAACATCTCAAATATCTGTACTGGAAGTCAGCTGTGTAGAGAGCTAATAGGCAGTGAGGAACTGGCTTGGAAAGCAATGGGCCCTGGATAATTGGGTGGCCTTGTGAGACTGGAGTGACAGTCATGGAGCATGGCTGAAGCACAGCACGAGATTAGAGGGTAAGAGAAATCTCAGCAGTTGTAGTCAGGCAAGAAGATGCTTTGAGTACCAAGCAGCAAGGAAACACGAGATGGTGGGGTCTGTGCTTTTGTAGCCACTTGGCCCAGTGTTTGCTTCCTTTTGGCCCAGGTGCAGCGGAACTGCTGCCTGACACTGTGTAACTTCAGCATTCCCGAGGAGCTGGAGTTCCAGTACCGCCGAGTGAACGAGCTGCTGCTCAACATCCTCAACCAGAGCCGGCAGGACGAGTCCATCCAGCGCATCGCTGTGCACCTCTGCAACGCCCTGGTCTGCCAGGTGGACAACGACCACAAAGAAGCTGTGGGCAAGATGGGGTTTGTCATGGTTGGTATGGTCCCAAGGTGTCTATTTATCCATAACCTAGGACAATTCCCTTACAGCTGCCCATCAAATGCCTCCTGCCATGATCCAATCTTGCAATATCACAGAAGGGAACCAGTGTCCCAGCAATGCTGAGCTCTCCTGGAACCCACCCTTCACTTGCTTAGCAGCATTGGAGGTTGTGATCTCAGAGACAGGCTGGTGTGAGGGCAGGAAGGCACTCTAACATAACACCTGACCTCACCACATCAGGTTATTCCTAGATCTGGGACCACGTTGTGACTGTCTCCTTCTGCTTCTCCCCAAGTTTGCATCAATTTCCCAAATCAACCAATATCCCTCACTTTTTCCAAGAACTGCAAGGGCTGTTGCTTTGGTGCAGTTATGGTGCATCCCAGACCTTGTCATACAGCTCAAAACTGACTCAACTACAAACTCAACAGCTCAGGGACTGGGGCATATTTCAGCTCTGTGAATACTTACAGCTTGGAACAGGACTCAGTCCCACTGGGTTGGAGAAAGATATATCACGTAGGTTCTCTGCAAAAGATCAAAATTGGCCATAACTGCTGTGATACTGCAGGGCTGGTTAAGTTTTAGGTCCATGATTTTTGAACTGTTTCTCATTCTTCCTCTTTCTTTGCCCACAGACAATGCTAAAGTTGATTCAGAAGAAGTTGGCTGATAAAACGGTGAGTGTTTCTCAAAGAAAAACACATACATAGAGTATTTTCTCTTCAGTCTGACTTAGGCATGGAAATCAGCCCAGAGTGCCAGCTCAGCTTCTCTAACAAACACAAGACATCTCAGGTGATGCTGCAGAATTTCTTGTTCCAGGGCGAGGGCAGGGGAATGTGACAGAGAGGCAAAAATATTAAACAAATAACTCACTTACTGTCAAGTTGAAAGTGAACAACAAGGTTTTCTTACCTCTGAAGTCATCTAGGGTGATGCCAGAGAGGAAACAGGTGATTGCTTTGCACCAGGCTCCTGCATTAGCAAAGCTCTGATTCTGTCCTTTTCCCTATAGTGTGATCAGGTGATGGAGTTCTCCTGGAGTGCCCTCTGGAACATCACTGATGAGACCCCAGATAACTGTGAGATGTTCCTTAACTACAGTGGCATGAAACTGTTCTTGGAGTGCTTGAAAGTAAGTGTCTGATTGTCTCTGGAGAGATGCTGACAGGAGCAGTGGAGATGCAGGTGCCTGGGCAGGATCCCTGGCTCTGCTCCTCTCCAAGCATTACTACACTTCACAAACAAGAAAGAAAAAGCTTGTGTAAGTTCTTCTTTCTCACATCACTCCACCCAGCCAGTAGAACAGAGAATCTTACAATGAACACATCTTCCCCTTTGCCCATCTTTGCTCAGTCCCCTCAAGCAGAGCAGCAGTGAACAGTGGGCCTGGTTTTGATCCTCCCTTTTCACACATACCTTCAGCACCATTTGGCACCTGCCAAGGGGCCATTGCTGACTACCCAAAAATACTGAGCTTTTCTAGATGTGCTGTACAGCCTTTTCCCAGGATTGCTTGTTCTCAGCATCACCAGAGTCCTACCTGTGTATAATCCTGTTCCTTGCCTGGCCAGGAGTTCCCAGAGAAGCAGGAGCTGCACCGTAACATGCTGGGCCTCCTGGGCAATGTGGCAGAGGTGAAGGAGCTCCGCCCGCAGCTCATGACCTCCCAGTTCATCAGTGTGTTCAGGTGAGTGCCTGGCTGGTCACCAGCTGGGCTCTGATCTCCTCCTGAACCACCTGGAGACTTGTGAATCTTTACTGCATCAGCAGCTCAAAGTGATCTCTTCTCTCTTGGCAGCAACCTGCTGGAGAGCAAAGCTGATGGGATTGAGGTGTCATATAATGCCTGTGGAGTGCTCTCCCATATCATGTTTGATGGTTTAGAGGCCTGGGGGATCTGTGAGCCTCACAGAGAAGAAGTTGTGAAGAGGATGTGGGCAGCCATCCAGAGCTGGGATATCAACTCCAGGAGAAATATCAATTACAGGTGAGCAGTGGAAGAGATTGGCCCACTCACATGGGAGACAGGATTGTCATAAGAAGGAAACACCAACAGAGAGAAAGGAAGAGAGAGAGCCTGGCATGGAGGCTTGTTCGGAGTGAAGGAGAAACGTCTTTCTTTAGTGAGGGCTTTACATCTTCCTTTGAAACATGTTACATAAGATGCTGAAATTAGACACCTTACCTGACAATTCCTATGGGAAAAGTTTGGCAGCCCAGCAGAATTTCTCCTGCAAGTTTCTGCTGAAATTGAGTAGTTCAGGAAAACCATGGTGTGTCTGGGACTGCCTAAGCATTTTCCTCTGATACTGTTGTCCTTTGCAATCTGTCCTTTTAAGTCTGTTTGCTTCCCAAAGCCACATGCTTTCACTCTTCTCCGGGGCACAGGTACCAGAAATCCCTTCAGAGTTTAATACAACTGCTGGAATCCTCTAAACACCTTCCTGTAAGAGGCTATCAGGTACTCAGAATTCCCTTATTGGCTTGGCAGGGATCCAGAACTGGCATTCCAGTGCCTGTTTACACTATGGACAGTAAAGTATAGTTGTCAGAAGAAGCACAGGAACCCTTGCACGTGTGCAGTCAGCTTTGCCTGGGTATAGTTTGGCTTTGTCCCTCCTCAAACTAATCAGTGCTGCTGGATTTCAGCTCTGGTGAGGAAATGCCTAATGGAGGATGGAAATCAATCTCTGGGCTCACTTGCCTTTGTTGCAGCTATTTCTCTGAGCACTGTGTTTGTGCTGAAGTGGTGGGGGCTGTAATCCTGCCAGCACTGCCCTGGGACACTGACTTAGCTTTGGTGCCAGAATCTTTGAAATGCCAATGGATTTACTGCTGTGGTATCTATGAGCAGATCACTTGCTGTATTGCTGTGAGTGGCAAAAGTGTTGAAAGAAGAAGCTCTTGGATTTTTAACAACTTTTATAATATATCTGTGCAGGTCATTTGAACCAATCCTTCGACTTCTTCCACAAGGGATCTCCCCAGTCAGCCAGCACTGGGCCACCTGGGCACTCTATAACCTGGTCTCTGTCTACCGTAAGTTCTCTTTTTGGAATCATATTCCCTGCACTGTAGAAGTTGAGGGGGTGAACCTGAGGCTGTCAGCAGAAGAGGTCTTGCAAGATAAACTATGTAGGTAGAGAAAACCTTTGAATCATGCAGGGATGCATGCACAGCCAAATAAAGCTAATTAGACCTTGTGTGTAGGAAATTCCTTCACTGTTTTGATCCTTCTCCTTCCCCTCCTGCCAATCTTTGTACACTGATGTGAGGGTTCACAAGGACCTGATTTATTCTTTTCTCTGTAGCTGACAAGTACTGCCCACTGCTGATCAAAGAAGGTGGGATCCCTCTCCTGAAGGACATGATTAAAATGGCCTCAGCACGACAAGAGACCAAGGAAATGGCCCGGTAGGACGCCAGTGCACATCACAAACTCCCAGTTTAGCCTTAGTTGAGTTTTTAATTCTTCCACTAAAGTGAGGCTACCAAAGCAAGGCCTGTAGTGATCTGTACAAGAGGTATGAATTGATAGAGGAGAAGCAGAGAAAAAGAGGCTGAAAACAGAATACTAGAGATATTTATAGGTGGGCAGTACACACAGATCATTACCAAGCAGCTGGGTTGTAGATTGGCTTTTTGAGCAAGGGAGACACATGGCTAATTGCAGTTCTTAGGCCAGTGGTCTCCAGTTATCACTTTTCCCTGTACTTGGGTGAGCTGCCTGTCTTCAGAATCATACTGGCCTGTCACTGATCTGCCAACTGCACAGTTAAAATGAGAGCATTCTTCAGAAGGTAGAGTCCATCACCCTTGCTATACATGCATTTTTCACACTTGCAATGACACCTTTCTTTAGAGTCATCCTTTCAGAGTTGTAAAAACCAGCTGCAGTTGCTGATCATTGGCAAAGTGAGAGCTGTAATTTCATACCTGCAAGATGAATAGAAGAGAGGGGTAGAGATCTGGGAATACATACCTGGGCAGCAGGTGTTCCCATAGCTGAGGGTTCCTAAATTCTGGAGGGCACTGGAGCCTGCAGAAGACAGTCACAGTTATACACAGTGTGTGGGATGGGACAGGTGACAGCACAGTGAAGGACAAACATTTGTATTAATGTATTTCCTGGTGGGATTTAAAGGCATCTGAGGTTTTGGGTGTGGGGGTAATGAATGAATGGTCGCAGGTGGTCCTGGATATGCACTACCATAATTTGACATTCCAAATTGGAAGTTGCTTTTGTGGAGTTTGCTGGTTTTGACACAGTTTGTGTCTCAGATACAAACAGGACACTGTTAACACAGAAATCAACTCTGGGACAGTTCTTACCTTATGTCCCACAGCTGAGGTGCAATAAGCTTTAAACTAAACACTCTCTCCTTGTCCTTGTTTTATCCATAGGAAAGTTATAGAGCACTGCAGTAACTTTAAGGAGGAGAACATGGACACTTCCAGATAGAGGCACTCACCCACTGCCTCTTGCCAGCACTGTATCCAGCTTCTCTCTAACTCACTGTACATAGGGAGGACTCTTTCTTACCAACTCGCCCGTTGGAAGGAAACTTTATGTGTGTGTGTGAGACCCTCAGTAGATGAAGGTGAATAGGGGAGGGGGGAGGGACTTTTTGCACAACAAAATGCTTTCCTTAACTTAGTGGACTTTTTTGTTATGAAGTTTCAGGTTGAAGTTCTGTGTGTATGATTTCTGTATAAAAAGAAAACAAAAAACAAAGACAATTACATTATGTATCCTTTAACCATTTATTTTAGACCACACAGAGAGCCTCAAATGACCATGAGCTTGAACACCTAGTTGTGTGATCACTAGTGTGACGTTTATTTCCCACTTTTTAGAAAATTCCCTTTTGCTGTACTGCATGAGGTCCTGTGATGTCTGCAAGAACACCAGTCCTGAATCAGCACTGGCTGCTCAGTGGGGCAGTGATGAGTTATTTATTTGGTTAGAGAGGTTGGGGAACACAATACCAGACAGATAAACCAAAAGAACTTTTTAAAAAAGAAGTTTTAGTGAGACTTAGAAATGGAGAAACTAGGGAAGGCTTTTCAAGCTAATTCACTCCCTTAAGGGCTTTTTAATAGAAGACTCACATTAATGGATGCATTGCTAATTCTGTGTGGGTCATTTGGAAGTAAGACTTCCCCAATAAAGTCAAGAGGTCTGTTTTGTCCCCATTGGCAGTACAGTGGGATCTGCCAGCCCAGCCAGCCTCAGAAGGTCAGGAATGATCAGCAGAACCAGTTATACCTTCTTGGCTCGAAGGGAGCCTGTGCAACAAGGCACAAGGTTTGTTCACAAAGGGCTACACATCTTCATTCTAGTCCTTCCTCACTTTTTTAGTAGTGTTCTGTTTTGTAGGGAAGGGCTACAAAGCCAGAGTATTTCCCTCTGCATACTATACTCTGCTAGGCCCTAGCCCTGAGCAGCTGTACCCCCTTGGGCAAGTCCCAGGAGGGGACTGGAGCTGTTCTGCCCTTCCTCAGTCTGTGTCATCACAAGCTGTGCTCAGTAGCATCCTAATCGCCCTTCCCAGGAAGCTCACTGCAGCACAGCTGCTGGAATTGGAGGTGGGGAGTCTCCAGACACCCTTTGAAGGGCAGTCCCAGGAAATAGCACCTTTTGTTCCACCCCAACATTTTCCCCCTACCCTCAGAGGCAGAAGGCTCTATTGCTATTGACTCCCAGAAGCACTTACCAGTGCAGTCCCAGTCCCAGTCTGTGAGACACAGGTGAGAGGAGAGTCCCACTGATCTGGTCTTCCCCTGTGACACTCCAGACCTATAATGGTTCAAAAGAAGCTGAAGGCCAAGCTTTGCCTCACAGCCAGGCACTCAACAGCACAGCTGTCCATATCACAGCCCACTGCTCAACACAGTTCTTTGACAAATCTTGCCTTAGAAGGGACTCAGAAAAGATGTTGTGCCTGGTAGAAGGAAGATGAGCCCATGGCCATGCAGGCTGGCACATTTCAGGCCTCAGAGCACAGTAACTCGCTGCTCTCTTCCCTTGTACACTTTGCTCTCAGATTTGAGTCGCTGCTATGAGGCTCTGCTAATGCTCAGAGTTCATGTTGTCCTCGTGAGCACGTTAGAGATGGATCCTTGATCCACAAACTGACACTTTAACTGACAGAACACAACTGCCTGGAGAGGTTTACTTTTACTGCCAATACGGTGTTATTCATTGTCTATTTTTTTTTTCTTTTTAACCATACGTCAATTTGTTTTGGTATTGTGAGATCTGTACTTTTTTCTTTTAAGTATTTTTCAAACTTATATATATTTTTGTGTCACTTTTAAATTGTTTTCATAAGATTGCAAAACTTGACAAATTATACTTTTTTTGCAGTCATTTGAAATGTATTTTTCTCTTATTCCTGTTTCCCAAGAATTTGTGTCCCTATGAGCTGATATCAAGATCTGTTTGCTGTGTAACATTTGCTAATCCTTCCTTCTATATGCAAAACTAAAGGGGGGCTGCAAATACAGCCTTGGTTGTTAGGGGAGTCAGGCTTTGCTCTTTAACTCCCCATTTAGTGCTGCTGTCCTTGGGAAGTTGTTTCACATGGCAGTAGCACCCACCACATCTGCTTCCTTTCCAAAGCCCATGTAGTGAAAGCTCCTGTCACTAAAATCTTGAACCAGCTGACAAAAAGCACTCAAGATTCTGGCCATGTTGGCAGGGTGGGAGTAGAGCAGAAGGGGACAGATGACAGATGGGAAGTATCAAAAAGCCTTGTCCCCAGAAAGCAGCTGCCACACGGGAGAGACAGTGGAGCTGGGGAACTCCCACCTCAGCTGGAGCAGATCCCAGCCTCTCACTGCAATCCAAGCCCAGCAGTTCAGCTCTACTCTAAGACTTTGGCACAACTACATCAAGGCTAATGGCAACCAGTGGCTTGGTTTTATCTGCCTTGAGACCCCAAAGGTTTGAGTTTTCCAAACCAGTGCTTCCACAAGTTGAGCAGTTTTCTGGAGTCTCACCTGCTACATCCCAAACTAACAAGATCCACACTGCATCAAAGCTGTTTCACACTGCAGAGGTAACCTCTGTTCTCACTGCTCACAGACCCTCAGCAAGCTGTACCTCCCAAACCAGGATAAAAAGATTTCAATTTCCCAGCAATAAGGAGATGAATGGAACCAGACCAGGCTGACAGAAAAGCTCAGCTTGCTGAAATCTGTCACCATTCCCAGGTGAAAGAGGGAACTCTTAACTGGGCAAGTGCAGAAAGCCTCACGTAAGATTTTGACTCAGGCCACCAACAAGGTAAATGCCTCAGGCAGCTCATGAAAAGGAATAACACCCCTGTTAGAGTAACATGAGCTTTGCCTACAAACTTCAGTGTCTTCAAGATTTTGTGAGCTGAAAAATAACATTTTCCCTTCAATAAGCATCAAAGAGTAAAAAGTGTCCTTTGAGCACCAGAGCACAATCCAACAGTTCTGAAACCAGTCTGGGCCTCAGTTTCCCTAACTGAAACAAAAGGAATAATGCAGGACCTGAAAAGGATTTAACTGGTGCCATAGATCCAGAGCTGAGGACAGAACAGGAGAGTTGCCTGCAGACATCACATCAATGTTCTGCAAAGGAAGGGAGGGCAAAGTGCAGATGTTTTTTGAAGGTTTAATGTAAAAGGGGAAGTTGGATACCCTGAAATGCTTGACTGCTCCAAGGATGCCTTTCAGGCCTTCCAGCTTTGCTGGATCAAAGGAACAAGCCAGGAAACTTCAGCTCCACACAAAATCATAGAGCCAGTGACCAACCCTGCTCAGGAAACCAGAATAGGGTTCTATTTTTCAAATGAAAATCCAGCTGTAGAGAAGTCCACAGCATGTAAGGATATTGCAGAGGGGCTCCTTGTGCTCAGTAGCTGTTGGCCCACTCAGACTCTTCGTGTTTTCACTACTGCATTTCCTTTAATATTCCAAAGCTTGGCAAGCAGAGCACGAACACGACTCAGTAGCTCCCTGCAGACACTGTGCCAACAAAGGAACCCTCTACCTGAACTGTGTGTGGTTTCCTTCCTGGCCCTTGTCAGTGACCCAGCAGTGCCAGGTGTCCATGTTCTCTGGAGCAGATAAGAGCAAATTGGTGAGCAACTTCCCACCAGTGCTTCCATTTTACAAAATCTGTGGGAGGAATTGCTCATAAGGATTGGCATCTACTTGGATGATGCTTAACCCCCAGAAGCACTTTCTCTTCTAGACCAAGCCAAGAAAGTTTAGTACTGATATTTGTGGCAATCAGAATATTGCAGATAATTCATCTGCACCATGGCTGCTGTTTCCCTGCACCTTCCTACTGAAATTACCCTCTTCAGCACTGAATCCTACCCAGCTTGTCACCTTGGCTGGGCTTCTGCTGCTGTCACTCTGGTCTCTGCAAAAGATGAGTGGGAAGAAAAGTCTTGGAGCTGTGAGTCAATTCCCTCTCATTACCTGGAGAAGGCAATTAATTACCAGCAGGGCAAGAGCTAGAGGGCACTGCAGTCAGGCACTACCCATAGAAAAGACATTTCCTTGAGACTGTTCAGGGAGGAGTCTGCCACAGCTCAGGTGTTAGAGGACAGCTTGTGCTGGAAAAAGAGAATTAAAAGTGGGGAAACAGCTGGTCTCCACGACAACCATGTATGTGGATGAAGCACAGAGGGCAAGAGTCATCAGGAATAGATGAAAAGCAACATGAGGGCTGAAGAAGAGAGCACTTAAAGAATGAGGGAGATACTCTGCTGAACTGAAACACTTCTGCTTTAGCAGACTGTTTTGATTTCATGTAATTGTTACTGATCCTCTCTGTAACTCTTTCCTTGTTTTAAAAAAGGTTTTTAAGCTAATTAAATATGTATTTCCTTGTTTTGCAATGAAAATACCCTCAGTTATAATGAGCAAGCGTCTCCTTTTACTCTGTCCATGGACCTGCCTGATGCTGAGGCCTGGTTCAAATGTTTGCACCTGGTGAAACTGAGCAAAAAACTCAAAATGCACAACTGTTGCTTCCTTACAATTCTGAATGAATTAACTTTTCTGTTGTATCCGTTGGATACCCGCTGTGTATTAAACCTAGTGCTCAAGAGTGTCTTCTTCCTTTGTTCTATGAATGTGGTTTATTTAGGTACATTATTGGTCCATTGGCTGTCATATATTTAATTAAAAATGAAAGGAACTGCCACGTGTTGATGATGCTGTTCAGTGCCTTTCCCTTTCATCACTCCAAAAGACACAATACTGCTTGTCAACAGAAGAAAGCAGTGGAGGACGAGAGCATTGTTAGGAAATTGTGTGAGAGGAGAAAAAAATCAGGACAATATTTGAGTGTCCAGATTGCTCTGAACTCTGTGATGTGTCTGCAGTTCACACTCCACAGCCTGGCCTTTGGAAGGGGCAGGATCTCAGCACTTAGGAAAAGCCAATCTGCTTTAAGACCAGCCTGACTTCCTTTGTAAGACCCTGGTCCTGGCAGGGCTCAGTGCCAGTTAATTCAATGGTCACTGTAAAGGAGCAAGGTGAAAGGATGGGAGGAGCATTGTATGAAACTGAACTGCCTCTGAAAACACGCTGTGCTGTAAAATCCAGAGAGATACCTTAGCCTGCCAGCAGCATGGCATTCTGAGCTGGGATGCCATAGGAACCAAGATTCTCCTCAGAAATTTACTAGTAGAGACTTTCTGTAACTGAGCCTAATTTCAACCAGTCACTGAGGCTGAAACCCTTGAGACAAGAGATAAGCCCTGATCTCTGCAAGACAAGTTTCAAAGCTGAAGGAAAAGATAAAAATAGTAACATGCACCAAATTATTTTAATCACAAAGAGATTGAGAATATATTCCTTCAGACAGATTATTCTAGAACATCAAAATGTTTCTACTTTCAAGTGGATAATATTATTACCACTCAGATTGCTTTCAGTAAGCTTTAAAATTTACACCTCTCTGTGAAGAAGGAAAGACACTACCCACCTTTTTCTGGGCACCAGTACAGCCTGAGGTGTCTGAGGGAAGAGAGCCATAGGCTTTGCATTTACCTAGAATTTAAAAAAAAAAAAAAGTTTAAAGAGTTTGAATGATTGCTGGAAATTTAGTTGACAATTTTTATTAACATTTCAACCCAGCTGTCTCAGATAAACCATTTAAGTGACCCACACAACCAGGTGCTTTCCTGGCATCAGCACATGGCCACTGACTCATATGAAGAGACTAAAATATTCAATTTGTGGGCAAACAATACCAAGGAATCCACTACAAGGTGCTGGAGGATAAATTTATAAAGAATATGATATTTCTTTCCAAATTTTTATTAGAAAAGAAGGTAACAAATGCAGCAAGGTTAAAACTTAAAGGAATTAAGCAGCAAGGTTAAAACCTAATGAGAAAGCACTGATTTTGGAACTTTTGCAGATCTGTGATAATACTCATCTCCCTTAGACACTCACAGTGTAAGTATATATGTGCTATAGTCACCTTGGTGTTTTGGTTTTTTTTATTGTTAGCAAGAGACAAAAATCAAAGGTGCATCTCAGGTGCAATTCAATTGCTTTTAGGTGTCTGTTCCAGCTGAGAAGAGTCTATACACACCTGCTTCCCTCGGCAGCCCTTGGGAGGGTTCAGTGACCTCACCCCGCCGGGAGCCTCTTGACTGCAGCCATCTCAACCAGACCAAATCCCTCCTCGAATTATGTCAGACATTCTCCAGGATCTGTTTGGTTAATGGGGCCGTGCAGCTGTTTCCAGCCAGGCACAGCCTCTCCGCGCTTCTTCCCTGGGGCTGGAAACCAACACATGGAATAACCACATTAGTAAGGGCAGGATTAACGCAGAGCAGCACCTCGGGAACCACCTCGAGGAGCCTTTGAACGGCACCTGGAGCCCGAGCCATCAGTGCCCGAGCCTTCCCCAGCTCCGGACACCCAGCAGCCCCGGTGTAACGGAGGTTCTGAGCAGTTTGCCCAGCCCTGCGCCCCAGAGCCCGGGGTGAGGGCGGGATGACACGAGGGAAGAGCTCAGGGAATACACATTCCTTAAGGAAACGTCCCACAGTGCACAACAACGCCGGGGCGGTGTGGGGGACAAAAGGAGCCCGGGACCGGCTCACGGTGTTTGCCGAGTCCCAGCCAGCAGCACCCGGGCCCGCTCTGGCAGCGGAACCAGCCCAACAGCCCAGCGGAGCCTCCCCCGCAGGGCCGGGCCGCCCTGGCCCCGCCTCGGGGCGCTGCCCGTGTCCCGTCCGGCCCTGCCCGCGCTGCCCGGAGGCCTTCCGGGCCGGCGCAGCCCCGGAGCCGGTGCAGCCGGGGGGCCATGGGCCCCGGCGGGCGCTGGGTGCGGGCGGCACACACGGCCCTCAGCGCGGCCCTGGCGCTCGGGCTCCTCCTGCACCGCACGGGTGAGGCGGGGCCCGGCCGGGCTGCGGGGAGGGGGCGGCCGGGGCTGGGCTGGGGCCGCTCCGCCCCCGGGGGCAGGCGGAGGACGGGGATGGCGGGCGGAGGACGGGGATCGCGGCCGGGCTGTGCAGCCCCCGCGGGACACGGGCGATCTGCGCCCGGCCGCGGCCCGGGGGTGCCCCGAGAGCGGGGGGGTCTGGTGAGTCCCTTCTCAGCCTCTCCCCCGGTCTCTCCCCATTTCCTCTTCATTGGTTCGGGACCCCTTTGTTGAGGCCAGAGAGAAAAATCCAGGAGGTCTCACAAGGAGCTGCTGCTCTCTGTCTTGTATGGGTACCTTTCAGATCTGCAAAAGCAAGAGGAGCGCGGGGAGCTGCTGCAGCCGCTGATCTTCGTTTTGCTGGTTTTATGCTCCATCCTGCTGTACTTCAAGGTGTCTCTCATGGATCCGGGTTTTGTTAAGCTTGAAGAGGAAGTGAAGGTAGATCCCTTCATGAATAGAACAAAGTGAAGTAGCTGTAAAGTCTATAGGCTTTTCTACTTTTTCCACTCCGGTAGATAAAAACAATCTGAAACAGTTTCTGTTGTGCTGGCACGAAGGACACATACACAGACCGCTGGAGATGAGGACAGACTGTCTCACACTGGTATTTGGTAACAGCAATAGGGTTTACAGGCTTTAAATGTGCCTTTCACACCACACTTCCCTTGTATGTAACTGTGCCATTTGAGCTCAAGTCCTCTCCTAGAGCAGAGGCTGCAGTGCCCTGTGGAATGTGTATATGACCTATTTTACAATAACCACTGCTAAGTGGTACAAGTGCAAAAAAAAGCCCCAAATTAAAGGGCAGGCTTGGCAGACAGTGCTCTCTGCAGCTCTATTTATTGAACTCTTTATGGATTTGTTGCCCTCTCAGAGGACACATCCACAAACAAGTTACAATGAAATAAATGGAGATGCAAAGTTTCAGTAACTGCTAGTCTGCTCAAGGTTCGCTGCCTTATACACTGTAGGACAAAAGCATTATCAATCTTAGTCATCCATCATTAATGTCAGTGTTGGCTGTATATGACTAAATAGCACTGCTCAAACCAAAAAGACATTGTTATTGTGTTTAGAAGTGAAGTCTAACCTTGTTTTTGTCCCAGACTATATCTTGTTCACAGGTATTTCTGCCTCTCTGCAAACATTCTTTGGAGGGTTACAGTAACCTGTTCTCTCTCACTGTACCATAACTGTCTGCAGATGCTCTAGGTATTCTAATGAATTTTTTTGTTCCTAATGATAGAGATAACAAGCACTGTGTAACTGTTAAGTAAAAGTATGCAGCAAGAAAGCTCAGTCATGCATAGACAGGAGCCCAAGAACTCTCAGTCCATTCTTTTCTCTTTTTTGTAGGAAGGTGAAGATAAAGGACAAGGTGTGGTGATCCCTCAGCTTCCAGGTGACATTAAGCTGCGGCGCTGCGGTTACTGCCTGGTGAAGGTGGGCATCCAGAACATGCTGCAAGAGGAAGGAATGAGAGATTTGAAAGCTTATACTGTTCTTCAGCTGCTGTTAGTGGTCTGTAATTGCTGCTCAGAGGAGGCTGGGCAGACTGTGTAGCTAGACAAATACTAGTGGAGTTTTCCAAGGCTGAAACAAGTCCCTGCTGGCTTATAGAAACAATAATGTTTTTTTGCCATGAGAAAATTGTATTCCACATTCTTACTGCCATGTCAGCCAGACCTTGCAGTTCTGTCAAAGAAGTTATTTTGAAAATACCTTGATAGTCAGAAAAGCACTGAGTGTAACTTGTGGGAACTGCTCATTGTTGTGGGTTTGTTCAGGGCCTTGAAACAACAAAACATTGGCCTGAATGGTAAAAGACAGCATGAAGGAGGAATTACAGCAATTAAATTAGCTCTTAAAACAGTTTGCCTAAGCCTAGAAAGGCTTGTTTTCAGAGTGATCCTTATCAGTTTAATGAAATTAAGCACTACCCCAGCTCCCATAAATTCCCAAAGAGTATCAGCCACGAGGAATGAGCTTATTGCAAGAAGAAAAGCTGGCAAAGCATTTATAGACTGCAGGGGGCAAATCCTAGGAAGCACTACTTTTCTCAGCCAGGTCTTTCACCTTCTCTGTGCCTGATAATTGAGCTGTTTTCTGTGCAAGTGTCTTGTACTCACATGGAGGCACTTCTCTGTACATCCCCAAAAAGCATCACATCCCTGCCCGCTCTGTTTGATAGTAGTGGTTCTAGTTTTTCACCTCAATACTCTGACTTGTGCTTTCCTGACTACACTGATTTGCTTTGTCTCCCTCCTTGGCACGCTGGACTTCCTGTATTAGGTGGATAATAAAGAAAATGTGTAGATAGGAGGAGTGTGGGAGAATCATTTAATTTCAATGCCACCCATTTGGGTCTTGACCAGGAGAATCACAATCCCTTTGATTTGTCTTAGCAATGTTATGTGCTGCTGTCTCACAAGTGTTTTAGGGACAATATTGTGGGGAAATACAGATTTGCATGATGTTCTCTTCTACCAAATGGGAGTGGGACAGCCATGAACTACAGCCAGTGAAGTTTTTTCTTTTCCTGGTTGTGTTTTGCAGCAACCCATGCGAGCCAAGCACTGCCAGCAGTGCCAGCACTGCGTGCGGCGCTACGACCATCACTGCCCCTGGCTTGAGAACTGTGTAGGAGAAAGGAATCACCCTCTCTTCATAGTTTACCTGAGTGTGCAGCTTGTGGTTCTGCTGTGGGGAGGCCATGTTGCTTGGTAAGGCTGAGAGATGGCTTTTGGACCTCTGAGATTGCTCAAAGTTGTAGTGCTCCTTGGGCTGGCATAGAACATAGACTGGCTCTGGATCTTCACCCTCTTTTGCATCCTGGAGCTCCCCAATCTTGAGCAGTCTCTGGTAATTTAAGTTTCATTGTTCATTTTGCTTCAGTCCCTGTAACACAATCTTTGTTTACACATTCAAGTGCTGGAAACTCCAACAGGGTTCCAGCTGTTTAGGAGAGGAGTTAACCCAGGGTGATTGTGTCTCACAGCTGTCAGGGAAACAGAATCTTCTAAATTTAGCTTCCAATCCCTGTGGTGCAGTCTCTCAGGACTTCATAGTATATTAACTCTCTGTAGTCAAGGATTATTAGCAGCTCATTAGTTATGAATCAAACTTAAATGTGTCATCAGGTTTGCTTACTTTGTGAAACTAGTTCTGCTTCTTTAACTACAGATTTATTTCTGTTTGAATTGAAAGGTCAGGCCTTTACTTTGAACAATCCCGGGAGTGGCTGCAGCACAACATTTTCCTCCTTGTGTCCTTCCTCCTGATACTCATATTCACCATTGTGGTCCTGCTGCTGCTTGTTTCCCACCTGTACCTGATCTCATGCAACACCACAACCTGGGAGTTCATGTCCCACCACCGCATCTCCTACCTGCGGCACTCCAAGCTGGAGAACCCCTTTGACCAAGGGATAATCCTCAATCTCTGGAGATTCTTCTGCTCACGCCACCTCACTGCATGGGAGAACATCTATTTTCACAAGAACACTGAGCCTGTCTAGTCCCAGTGTGCCAGCACACCTGGCAGGCTGCTGGGTAAAACTTTGCTGCTGTTTCCTTGCACTGAACTTTACCACATCATGGACTATGCAACCTGCTCCACAACCTGTTCATCTGCAAATTACATGTAAGGAATAGTCAGGGTTATTTTTTATATATAAACAACACTCTTAAAGGCAAGAATACAGTTCTGGGAAGGGAAGAGCCAGCAGAGCTGATTTCCAGACTGAGCAAGGTATCTCTAAATTTATTATCTTTTGTTAAGTGCATCCACTATCCTGTCTCTCAAGAAGAAATGCAAGCTTAGTGTGACTATTCATGTTCACTTCTCTTCTCCAAGGTCTCCCTTGCCTTTTGCTGCTAGGGAACAGCAGCAATTACAGATAAAACCAGCCAGGATCAGTGTAATTCCTGTGGCCTTTTTTCAGCCAAGTTCTGACTGTGAGAACTGCAGTGCCTTTTGGCAGTAGCATCAGGCATGTAAGAGAAATATTTGAGTAAATATTTCGAGAGCCAAAAGCAAATTTTATTTTGTCCACATGCCTCAACTTAATGCTTTCCATGAAGACTTAAGGCTTAATACTGTTAATGTGCATAAGAAAGAGCTGTAAGACATCCAAATAATCTTATGAGATAATTAACCTGTATTTTGTGATGCCCTGAGCAGCTTCCTCACAGCTTTTTAAGTTGATGATGCTGCTAACAATTCACTGTTTTGAATCAAGTCAGTGAAGAATACCATCACTTTCCTTTGGACAGAAAAGTAATCCTTGGCTACTGAGTTATTTCTGCAGATAACTTTGTGCTCAGGCCTTTGCTGCAGGGAGAGAAGCAGGAGCAGAGGTGAGTACCTCATGCCTAAAGTAACACTGCTAGTAAAACTACTACCTCAACTCACTAGTGACATTTTAATAAAATAATACAATTTCAATGGAAGAGAAAAGCTGCCAGGTCCTGAGATGAGAGATGCTGACAGCTTTCAGAACAGCAGCAAGAGGATCTGTTTTCCATTGAAATAAAAAGTCATACTTCAGATTTCCATGGGGAACTGAAAGGAAGTTTGGGATGACTGATCTTCGCTTTAAAACAAAAAAGGCTGTGGTGTGAATTTTAGTCCTGACCCTTTTCTGTTAAAACAAAAACAAACAAAACAAGAAAAACCACCACAACAAAATGTTAGCTAAAATTGTCTTGTGCCTTAATTGTCTTGGCTCAGGAATTAACACCATCTCAGAAACACTCAGGGTTTAAAGTTGATGAACACTCATGAAAAAATAGTGTAGTTACTAATACACCATGACAGTCCAAAAGCAATTTAAATGCAGCAAAAGATCCCTTTTTTGATCAGCTCCAGAGTTTGTAATCTCTGCAGAGTCTGCTTTGTTCAGGGTAGAAGCTTTATCAGAGGGATATCAGAATGCTAAGGATTGTTTTTGTAAAGAAGTGTACACCATTCAGAAGTATTCTGCAGGTTGCTTGTGTTGCTGTGGTACCTGCTGAAGTGTGGATCATCTGTCACACTGCAATTCCTGATTCTTCAGGTATCAGTCAAGTGAAACTTTAACAGCAGGTACAACAGCTCAAAGCACTTTTGCTCTGTCTGGTATTTCTTTAAAATACACCTGGGTGTTAATTTACCTTTTTTTTTTTTTTTTTTACTCAACCATAAATTATAAAATAAAAGATTAAATACGCATTTTTAAATTGTCTATGACTCTTTCTTTGAACTCAAGTTCTAGGCTTCACCTGTGCTAACAATCCACTGTGCTGCCTCCCACTGCACAGTGGCCTTGAACTAAAGCCACAAAACACACCACAGAGGCAAAACAGCAACTGCCACTCCAACAAGAGTGAGGAAAATGTGTATCCTGCTCTAAGCAGGCCAGTGCACTGCCAGGGTGAGCAGGAGGTTGAAAGGATCTTTGTACATGGGAATTTTCAGAAGCAGCTATACTTGGCTCTGAAAATAGGAAATCTGGCTTGAGTGTGAAATATGCCTGGTTTGCACAAACAGAGCTCTTACCTCACTGAATCCTGAAGCTCTGGGACCTGCCTTGGTTAACAATTCCCTAGATCCTTGTCTCCAGCTACAGCACAGTTGCCTTAGGCCCACTCCTGTCTCCATCTGGTGAAAAACTGAAAGAGCAACGATTGTGTCCTTGTTTGCATCAGATGCCTCATCTCTAAAAACCCTTCCCCTTTTTGCCCAATGAGCTAACATTATGAATTTAAGACATGAAAATGTATCTTATCAAGTATAATTACAAGATAAATTACGACGCAATGAAATCACCTTTAACTCGCTGATTTTCCAGTACTGACTGTCATTACTTAGCTGTCCCCAAAAATTATACAGGATGTACACACTGATAAAATCTGTGGAGACATAAACTGACTGCAGTCATTGGTATCTCTCAGCTGATGACACCATGCAACATGTACAGATAACCTGAGTGAGAAGGAAGAAAGAAAGAAAGAAAATATTACTACTGGCATTTATGGAGAAAACAAAAGTCCTGCCTGTTGAGCATTTTTAGTTAGCCCTGATCTGAAACATTCAGCTGACACAAAAGAGATGAAAAGCTGAATATTTATTATATAGAAAGGTATCTTTATTTTCAAAAAAGAAAAAAACACGTGCAAAGCTGTGGAGTTTGATATCATTATAAAAAATAGCTAAGAGTTGGCATCCTTAAATAGAAAGATTCATCTTCCTTCCAATAAATCACTTGGATCATTATCAAACATCATTGTCTAGGTAGTGTTAAAATCCATTCCTTGGCTGGTATACACATTTTTATGAGTGGGAAATGGCATACAATCATTACCAGGAGGGAATGCTGCATCTCTAGAAAATCACTGAGAAGTGGCCACTCCCCTGCTATGCTACAACTTTAAAAATCACACTACTTACTTAGGCTTTTTGCAAAGAGTAACCTGGGTTGCAGAGATGATTTGATTTCAAGTCCAGCTTAAATTCCAAATTTCATCTACGTTCAATGACAGAAGAAGATACACCCTGACAAATGTTAATTATTCCTTAAAAGTAATTGACATCCTTCCTACATATGAGGCTGGAAAGCCACATTCAGCTTTCAGGGCACCTCATGCTGGGGCCATCAGCACTATCTGTACTACAAACCCTGTTGGCTTTTCCACTGGCCCTGCAAAGTCTTCCCTATGCTCTCTCAAGGTGGTAACAATCTCTTCGTGTTTTTGTAGCCCAAGAATCACACATCTAAAAGATGTCTGGAAACAAAGTCAAAGTCCTTGAAGACAGTCTGCTCCTTCTTGGTCAGGACAGAAACCTCCTCAGGAGGAGTAAGGATTGGCTTTTGGGAGGTGAACTCTTCATCAAAGTTGCTGATGTCTGTTGGATCTCTCAGTGTGGGCACAAAGGGGGGCTTCAGCCTCCTGGCAAACAAGGCATTCCAATCAATTCCCTGTAAGAAAAGGAAGGCAGAGATTCCATGCAGTGTATTTCACAGCTACAACAGTATTTAGGAAGGACAAAACTACAGCTCAGCTGTGGCCAGGTGGATCTGTGGATCCCAGCAATTTCTGGTGACATCCAAGTTCTTTTCTTGCTCCAGTGCAAAGCCAGACAAGGGTTATAAGGCTAAAAACTTTTGGACAGATGAGTAATAATGAGGAGAGATGGCAACACCTTTGCCTGGAACAAACACATACCCCTGACACAAAGCAATTTAACCTCCATTTCTCTTAAGAATCATGTGTATCCTGCAAATGCAGGTGATCAAATTGACTGACTGACAATCACTGTGATCACTAGATAACATCTTTGATGCTGCAGTTTAATTTTAAAAGGAATATTTGTTCATGTCTCTAAAGTTAAGTATATTTGTACATAGAAGCAGCACAATCAGAAATAAACTGACTCTGAAAGCATAAAGATCCCAGAAAACAGACTTGGGGGATGTCATTTCAAGCAAGACTTGAAACACATATTCCTGAATGAAGTAATGAGGTGCAACAGAAACTATCACTAAGATCTCCCTGATAACAAAGGGAAATAAGCCTCAACACCAACAGAGAGCAAATCACTCTCTGCTCAAACACAAGAAACAAGGGAGAGGTTTAAACCAAGTTCCTACCTTAAAAAAGGGCTGAATTTTAATCTCTTCTGCATCTTTTTCCCCTGCTCCCAGTCTACGCTCTGGACATTTCCGAAGCAGCTGCAGAGATATCAGTTCAAATTTAAACAATGGGAACCAGAATGAACAGAAATGATGTTCCAGAGAGAAAAACAAAAGAAAAGGAGGTGGACTGATCCCTCGGTGTTTCCTCATTCTCACTTTGCACCAAGGTCATCATCTGCCAGGAATAACTCAGACCTAGTTTCTTGTAAACAATTTGCCAACAGCAATAAGATACCTGCCATAAACTGCATGGAGCATCTCAGCTTAATTGTGCACCTGTGACTATGGGGTCACATTTAAAAACTGAATCCAGTCATCTCCACTGAATGGCTCTGACATTCTTGCCCTTGAATCAACACTTCTCTGTGCCAGACTTAGCAGGAACAGTAAGCAGCCTGCTTAGTCATCCTTACATGGAAGAACTGCATTTACGTAAAGAGAAGGGAGGGGAAATATGTGCAAATTTTATATATTTCCTTAGCCTATGTAGGCAGCTCCACATTACACACACAAATGCTGTACAATCCTAATCAAGTCCCTCTGGATCCACTTACACAGTAAATGCAAATTCCTCAGGCTCCCAGAGACCCAGCAGCCCTTTACCTTACGGATTATGGCAAGTGCTTCAGTTGAAAGGAATCGCGGATACCGAACTTCATCATTGACAATGCTGTCAAAGACTTCCTCCTCATCATCTCCAGGGAAGGGTGACTGCAATTGGGACATTCTATTATTCAATCCACATAGCACCCATTCCTCACTATTAAATAAGCATGAGACTAGCAGGGAGTTGTATGGATTAATTAATTACTGTATGGCAAGCTCTATGAATGAGAAAAATGTAACTGAGGTACTAACAAATAGTTGGCTACATTTAGCAATATTTTACCTGGGGTGGTCAGGTCCCCAGGCCTGGTTAGTGAGATGCCCTGAGGGAAGCTGGCCTTACCTCACCAACAAGCATCTCATAAATGAGCACACCCAGGCCCCACCAGTCCACTGCCCGCGTGTATGAGATGTCTGTCAGCACCTCTGGGGCCAGGAACTCAGGGGTGCCACAGAAGGTGTTTGTCCGGTCTCCAAAACCTATTCCTGTAGGAAAAGGACACTTTGGTAAAATCCAGCACAAGTTACTGAATGGATCTGATGCAGCCTCACCTCCTGAAAGCTGTAGTTTGTCACCTGATTTTGTTACCTGGGCATGGAGAATTGCCAGTAAGAGTTGTGAAACCTGAGGCCCTCAACCACTCCAAATAACAAATATACAGACAATGCTTAAATAAAGAGCAAACCCAAGGAAACTTCCTGCATGTTCCATTGCTCATTTATTCATCCACATTTTTTATATGATCCCATGTGGCTCCTTTGAGCAAACAAGCACATTTTAAATGCTTTCATAAGTCTCCTGAAGATTACACAAGAAGGTATTCTTCCCAAATTCATCATGGCCAGACAGGTGAGGAGTTTTTTTGTTGTTTGGCTTTTTTTATGTCAATTTTTTAAATGGGGATTAATACAAGTTACACACCTACTAAACCCCAGATCCTAAATTGATCCTGATGGCTCAATTTAAGCTTCTCCAGTTGCTCACCTTCCTTACACAGTCCAAAATCTGCAATCTTCACAAATCCTTCAGCATCTAAAAGGAGATTATCCAATTTCAGGTCCCTGCAAGCAAAGGAGATGAAAGAAAACAGTGGATGAAGACTGAGGATTGTCACCCAACATGGCTTTTTTGCAAGAGGCAGAAGGCAGATGTTAATAAAGAGAATAAAATCTAGATTGAGTAAAGTCTACATTTGGTTTAATCATGCATTATTTGGAAGATTCCTACTAATTTATTTATATTTTCCTCTAAACTAAAGGCTCAAAAAGCAGCATGGAGCTGGGTGGGGATTATTCATCTGGAAAAGAGCTCCCACAACAACATGACAAATGACTTTTTCCAATGAAAAGAAAGCAGTGACTTACAGGTGCCCCCCAGAATGTATTGACATGTCACAGAGGATTAATCACCTGCAACATGCCAGATGAATAGCTTCTAGGTGACTTTCTCTACTGTGAGCACGATGAACATGCTGATAGTGACAGGGAAAATAAAGACAGGCAGAAAGATTAGAAACCCCAGCAAGAAAGTGAGCTCCAGACACAGCTACAGGAAAAATCAACCTTCAAGTTGCTGAATTGTCTTGAGTCTCTGCTGCATTACCTATAAACAATTTTCTTCTCATGTAAGAACTGGAGCCCCAAGACTACACAGGCTGTATAAAACCTAAAAGACAGAAATAGTTATCAGGCAATATATGAGATTCAAATTAAAAATTTATAGTGCCTGGAGACAAGAGTAATTCTAACTCACTGTGCCATATGCTCTGGAAAGACATCTTCATGTATGCGCATCATCAGATCCCCTCCTGGAGTGTATTCCATCACAAAACAGGCATGGTGAGGGGTCTGGAA